CTGTTATTTCAATTGTAAATAGATTTGCTATTCTTTGTATCAGAAATGTATTTATTTATTAATTTTTTTGTGTGTCATTATAAACAGGACAAAATCACAGAATACAATTTTGATTTTACCTAAAGTAACAGTGAATGATTTTAAACTAACACTAGTCAAAGGAAAACAAAAAAAAAGTATATTGTTATGAAGGTGATTTGTATTTAAAATTCAAACAGAACAGAAACAAACAAAACAGAATAATTTTTGCAAGACAATATTGCCAAAAGGAAAGCCATGTTTGTCATTCGTTATATCAAACTAATACACTGCTTTTGGGGACAAAGTTATTACTGAATCAACAGGCCCATAGCTCAAGTGGTTATTCATTTCACCACTATCACACATTTCGTAGCATTTATTAAGTGTACCAGTTCCATCTCTCTCTATTGCTTCATGGAAACTGGTATCTGACATGTAGGGGGCAGCAAAATGGACTACAACATCTAACCATCAGAAGATACAGAAATATAGGCAGCTGAAGTTATATGTAAAACTCTTTTCTTGTGGCAGTCTACCTTGGCCACGCTACCTAGTACCTTCAAAGACTCTTTATTGCTTATTAAGGCCACCACAGTCACAGGAAAGGACCAATAGGGAGTAATTGTAATTTTTAGGGGAAATATTGAACTTCGCATACTTCAGCTGCCTATATCTCTTAGCCTACTGATTATTCTGACATGTAGTTTGCTCTGAAGATGTGCTTTTCCTCACCATATGCTCAGCTTGAAATACACAGGTTTTTGACAGGTTCCTCTTTATGCTTTATTATAATTGTTTCTTTCTGCACTAGCAATCATGTCAAGAAATCCTCCCTAGTTTAGTCAAAAAACTTGTTTTGCTTTTAATTGGAATTTTCCAAGACTAACATTTCATATATTCAAATAGTATCATCCAGTAGTCCCATCAAACTGGACATGCCTTTGAAAACATTGCTTCAGCAGTTTTCAAGCTGAGGAGAATTACAAAGTGTCTTCCTGAAATGGCTCTCCCTTTATTTATAAATTCCCTCCTGCTGGCCCATCTCCTGCTGTGATGAAAACATTGTCTTTTACATTGGACTTGCTGTAAAATCTTTGATGTCTTTTTCAGTGGCATTGCCCATATTTATTTACTATTGGTCTTTTCTTTTAGTATATTCTAAGACATGCAGGTCAAACTGGATGCTATTAAAATTCTTTTTTACTGCAATTGGAAAGTCAAAAGCTTTTCATGTCTGCCTTCGATTCAGAATATGATTATTATATTATAAAGAAAGTAAACCATAGAGTTTTTACACTGCATAATGTAACAAAAACACAGCATGTTAGTGGATCACTAAGCAATGCAAAGACCCATCAATGTCATTACATAGCCATCAATGCTATATAATTCTGGAATACAATATAAGATTTCTTCATTATAAAAGGCAATGCCAAGGGAGCAATTTGGTGTGTGGCTTCAATTTGCTTTTGTCAGTTCAAAACTACCTTCAATACTCTACCAACCTAATGCTGCTAGCTGAAAAGACACTGTAAATGTAAACCATGTCCATTTATTTTACAGAGTTTAGATTTATAACATGTTCCTACAATCCAGCTGCAAATATACTGTAGGAAACAAAGTACCACATGTGCAATTTCAGTTAGTTTAATACTAATATTTTTTTTATATAGACAAATTACCAAGCACAATAAAGCCTGATGAAGCATATTCTACTCTGTGAAATGCGTCACTATCTTACTTTGTGATATAGCACCTCGCTAAGTCTCCATCATCATTGGACATCCGCATTCATATAACCAGATTAATGACGATACTGTGGACTTTGGACCAGGGATGGCCAAACTCCGGCCCTCCAGCTGTGGTGAAACTACAAATCCCATGAAGCATCTCTCTCCGGGAGTCATGTCTGTGGCTGTGAGAATCTTGCAAAGCCTCATGGCATTCGTAGTTCCAGCACAGCTGGAGGGCCGCAGTTTGGCCATCCCTGACTTAGACGGTTTATTTTAGTTGGTGTAATTGTGCTAAGTTAATCATTGGGGCAATTCATAATGCTGTTTTTTTATGATGTACTTTTAAATTGTTTGAAATAAAATGCACATTTTTTTAATATACTGGTTTGTATTGTAATTACTACACCTTTAAACTCCCTGCACAAGGACTGCTTTGTAGTCAAAGCATTTGTTTTCTAAATCCAGCTGCAAAGATGCTGGTTCCATTTCCTCCAGTGGGTACACCACATCAGCTTGTAAGCAATCTAAATATTAAACAGTAGAAGGCAGTCAAAAAGCACAAAACATTTGCTTATTTTAGGCCGTCATAATTCACACAAGTTTCAGGCCAAAGCCCTTAGGTATGCCACTACCTCCTATATCACCACCTAAGTGAGGCTTCCACCTCCTTATCCTCTGGGTGGGATTGGTTTGACATGTTCGAATAAATGATGAGCGAGAAAAGTTTTGTGCAATGCTTTGACATTTTTTTTTAGCTTAGCTCCAAGCACAGTTTTTCAATTAGAAAAAAAAAGAAATTACCAAATCACCTATGTGACATTGCCCTGAAAGTAGTGTTTGGCTTTAGAAGAAGGAGATTAATGAATTGGTAGCAGATTCTACTTAGTGACAGACAAATAGTAAATAATTCATGGCAAATCAGTCACTGAGCTGCGTTCTTGTTTTATGGCTACAGGGTATGAAAACACAACATCATAATTGATCTGAGCACAGTGATGCACCTTTTTTGTACATTAAATAAGGAAAGCCATTATAATCATGAATGTTGGTTACAAACAAAACAGTGTTATAGATGTTAATATACAAATAAAGAAAAGTTACAAATACAGTAAATGCAAGCTAATATGTATAAATGATATGTTCTGAACAAGCTGAAAGGATATTTTGCTTATTCCCCACAGGGGTAGAGCATTCATTTCTGGTTACAGAAATATAGGTCTTTGATAATACAATTTTAGCTGTAAAATTGTCCCCTATTCTCCTGAGCACGAAAGGATATGGAAGTAGCTTTAAAAATGAGTGGTATGTGACAATACATAGTATATTGGTAGTCTTCAGCGCCAACATAGCAAACATGTAATTTGCCAATAAATGGCCTGTTCATACGATCATAAATGTGTATTGGAATTATTGAAACTATTTAACAAAGAAAACATGGAGCTGTAACACAGCATGACATGAATTTATTTTGCCTCTTTAGATTTAATGGGGTAAGGGGATAGATCTGAACATTGCATTTGACCTTAAACGTCTTAATAAATATGGTAACTGCCATTAATATAATGAACAGGTTGGCTCTTTAAGAGTCTAATGTATCTCACAAATGGAGAATTAGAATAACCCAGTTCTCCTCCCATAAGAACAACAAAAAGGCAATATTCCTTTCAGCTTGTCTCCACAGAAGATGGTCTCAGTAGTGATAAGGACTCTGCCAGCCAACTGATGGGCAAGCCAAAAAGCAGGAAAAGAAGAACATCTTGAGTAACGCAGACAACAAAGAAGTCACCAGAAGAAGCCCAGTCAGTGAAGACAGAAAGGGACAGGAAGTAAAAATGAAATTCTTGGAGTATGGTCATCTCCTCGCTTGCACCTACCATCGGTTTCAGCTCCCGCCTCTCGGCTCCGCTTCCTGTCTCCTTCATGGCTTTTCTACTGTTCTCCACAAATTCCTGCAGTAAAACATGCTGTATTACCACCATACCATAATTATCAGCCTTGTAAGAAAACATGTGACCAAAGCCACTTACCATTAGGACTTTATCCATGTAGAATTCCTTACCAGGGCTCCCATCATTATATTTAGTGTCAACAGCAAAACACAGGAAGAGGACATCTACCACCATTTCATAGATGGAGAGGAAGCAGTGAGCAACAAGAAAGGCAAAAAGGCAGACTATGATGAGCGGAAGCACCCATACTGTGTAGTCCCTCTGGTAGTTAAGCAGCATAATTCCTGCAAGGCCCGTGGTGCTCACAATCAAAACCTAAAAAAGCAAAAGGAAGATAAACAATCCTATAATCATTATGCATCATGACTCCTTTTATGGTACTCTTAAAGAAAATGAATTAATAGAAAAGGTTAGCATGATGTAGAGTGAGGTCACATCATCACATATTGGGCATAGTGGTCAAGTATTTCCCCATAAGAAAAGATTAGATTTCAACAGAACAAAATACCATAGATGAGCCTTAATATAGTGTGTATATAATAAATTATATATATATCCTCAATTCAAAAATTGTTGGGACGCCGTGTCAAATCTATAAAAAAAATGTGCAATTCTCCTAAACCCATATTTTATTCATAATACAAAACATCAAATGCTTATACTCAGAAAATGTACAATTTTAAGAAAACAATAAGGTAATTTTGAAATTGATGGCAGCAACACATCTCAAAAAAGTTGGGACAGAGCCATGCTTACCACAGTGTAGCACCCCCTCTTCTTTTAACAACACTGTAAACATCTGGGAACAGGGAGATAGTTGCTGTAGTTTTGGTGTTTTCCCATTCTTGCCTGATATAGGATTCTAACTGCTCAACAGTCCTGGGTCTTCTTTGTCGTATTTTTCGTTTCAAGATGCGGGACCAGTTGAGCAGCTGGACTCTTCTACTACGAGGCCACGCTGTTGTCATAGATGCAGTATGCGTCTGGATGATAGCATATGCTGCTCTAAAAAAAGCATTGATGGAGCTGTTCCAGATGTGTATGTTGCCCATTCCATACACACTACTGCATCCCCATACCATCAGAGATGCAAGCTTTTGACGTGAGCGCAAGGTCCCTCTCCTCTTTAGTCCAGCGGCCCCCAAGGTTGCCAAAAAGAATGTCAAATTGATTCATCTGACCAAACAACAGTTTTCCACTTTGCAACAGACCATTTTAAATAAGCTTTGGCCAGAGAAGCGTGTCTTGATCATGTTCAGGCATGGCATTTTCTTTGCATGATAGATGGCACGGCGAACTGCGTCCACATAGTGATATTTGGAAGTATTCCTGAGCCCATGTAGTGATGTCCATCACAGAATCATATGCAATTGATGGAGGTGCCCTCCGCACACCTTTCAGCAGTCCCGGCCAACAATCAAATAAATGGTGCTCGAAGTAACTTCACGGATGGCACCGTGCAAAACACAAGATTGAAGAAAATAGGTCACCAGCACTCCATAAGTTAAAATGAATGAGTCCTTTTAATGGACAATGATGTCACAGAAATCCAACATGAGCCGACGTTTCGGGGCCACACAGGGTCCCTTCTTCAAGGCAAGGCACATCTCTTGCCTTGAAGAAGGGACCCTGTGTGGCCCCGAAACGTCGGCTCATGTTGGATTTCTGTGACATCATTGTCCATTAAAAGGACTCATTCATTTTAACTTATGGAGTGCTGGTGACCTATTTTCTTCCATCACAGAATCATGACTGTTTTTAATTCAGTGCCATCTGAGGGCTTGAAGATCACAGGCATCCAATATTGCATTTCGGCCTTGTCCCTTGCGCACAGAGATTTCTCCAAATTCTCAGAATCTTTTGATGATATTATGTACTGTGGATAGTTATATATTTAAAGTCTTTGCAATTTTACGTTGCGGAACATTATTCTGAAATAGTTCAACCATTTTTAGACGCAGCTTTTCACAGATTGGTGAACCTCTGCCCATCTTTACTTCTGAAACACTCCGACTCTAAGATGCTCTTTTTAGGGCCCATTCACACCACCTCCAGACCAGACCAGATTGTTTCTGGACCTAAAATGCATCCCAATGTTTCCTTATGCTCTTCTTGGCCTCAGTTCACACTGTGGGTGCAAGATTGCACCTTACTTGACTCCATCTTGTTTTGAGTTTTATCATACTATGCCTGCATTAACTTTTGCTTCAAGAATCACCAACTTTTACCTGCATGAAGTTTTGAACTATTCCAAAGGAAGGCCAAACTTTCTACATTCCAATAAGGTGTCCTTAGGGATGGGCTTTGAGTGAGAAGAAGGCCTTAGGGTATGGTGGAAGTGTGGAATACTTGTTGTCATTTTTGTCTCTTATCTGAACCTGTTCATTGAGTACTTTGCTCAAGGCAATGCTGCCCTAGTCTTTGTCCAAACAAGGGTCACTTTTCCTGTTTTAAGAATTCCTAGTGTCCAGATAATGATGGCACCTAAATCATGTACTGATAATTAATCCTAAATCTAAACTGCAAACAAGTCACGTATACCTTCATGTTGCCTGGGGACGGTCAACGCCCCTTATATTCTGTTAAACTTTAAATTGTGAGTGTAAGAGCAATGTGGTAGAGTACTCTTGTATCTCTCCAATATTGCTATATGGTCAATAAATTCACCTATTCATAAAAGAACTCAAGGACAACACCATTGCAGTCAGTTCCAGACCGGACCAGAAAAATACTGCGTGTCACATTTTGTCTGGAACGAGTCAAAAACTAACTGGAATGCAACGGAAACAAAAAACTCATTTTTTTTTTGGCTGGTTTGGATGATCTCATCACCCCTGGACTTCCTGCTTCTTGCATTCTGGCAAAGTAATACACAGAGTTTTGTATTGTTGTGAATTTACTCTGAATGTTTGACTCAAAGTAGCCTACTTTTGCAGGTATAACACACTTGTGTTGAAACGTCTTCTTTGGTTCTTTGTGTCTGTCAGACCTGTTCCTGTCAAAGCTTACTTCAGGAAACGTGCACACAGACACCATTTTTTGAAAGAAAAGACATTTTTACTGGTTATAATGGTCTTTGTCTGTCCTCCTTTGTCAACTGCCTGTTCCTCCTGTGATAGCACTAGATTAGTTCTTGCAATGCAATATTGCCAAAATAATGTTTCAGAGAGCAGAGAAACACATATTGCCTCATCATTGCTTTTACACATAGGGCTTATAAGTAAATCAACAAAAGCCAGGAAATTCTCTAGAAATTGCATCAACATTCAAGACTTGCTTTACATGAATTTTCGCAGAAAAGTTGTTAACCCATTATTTGTTCCCTAAAAAAGGCCTGTTCATTGAACTCTGAAATGTACCTTATTGTTTTTCAATTTTGGTAACCTTAACTGCCTGTGTACTTTTTGATTTTGTACCATTTCATTTTATGCACTGGACCAGACTGTTTACATTTCAATAAAAACCTCAAAAAACTGTGGTGTTCTAAAACTTTTGAATAAATAAAAACTAGTGCATCATTCATTTACTCATGCAACTGGTTCCAACATGAAATCTAAGAGTTTAATCACCACTCTAATTCCTTTTCTGAGAGTTTAAAGTAGGTGAAATACAATAAAGTCTTCTAAATATTAGTAGTAAAAAAGTACTCATTAATTAAATACTGAACTACAGTAGAAAACAAACCTCTTTATCATGCAGATTATTGTATACTATACTGATTAAATGCTAACATGGTGTTTAATGTAAATTTGCACAAATATAAAAAAAAATGATCACTCCTTGAAGGAGTTAAATACACACACACAAAAATGGATCTTTACAACATTGGAGCACACTAGCATTGATTTACTACTTGGGCTATAGCATTTATCACCTAGCTCCTTAAACCGGGAACACTAGACCATTTGACAAATGTCAGTGTCAGTTCATGGCAGCCTGGTCTACTGATCATTTGTGATTCATGCACCATGGAAAGAAAAACAATATAAAATTCCTTTTGTAAGCTTCTGTCTTCAAACACAACAACATCATTTGTTACTGAAGAGGCTTTTGTGACAAGGGCTCTTCACTGGGTTGAATGTCAGCCTAAAGACATTTGTTTTTTTCCCTTCATCCTTAAACTGATCTTTGAGGTAATAGTACGATTGCAGAAGTATAAATTCAGAAAATGCTGACTGGACGGCATGGTTCGTGCTCAGCAAACTTTTAAAATAACGTTAAATTTTTAACCAGTGCATTGTAATCTAGTTTCTAGTACAGGTGACATAATGACTTCATCTACAAAAAGTCCCAGATTTTTTGCTTGTGAATTCATTCTAGGCAGTTTCTGGTGTAATGACTACCAATCCTATACATCCTAGTTTGTTATGAAAGTAAATTTTATACAGTACTTGATTTTGATCTTGTTAAAAGTTTATAAAGAGAAAAGCCAATTAAAAAAAAAAAATACCAGAACTCTAACACTGGCAACTTACACTTGTGTTAACCCTACTTAAATTGTAGTCCCTCTAAAAACCAGCAGCAGCCATACACAACAGAGTGGGGTGTTAGAAAACAGACCGTGGCAAAAAGCTTCATAAATCTGATTTTTAACAGCTTCTAGTCTAAATTAAAAAAAAAATGTAAAAAAATTGAGGCACTTCTCTTAGCAATTTGCGAGTTCATAGTTTTAATTTTCTAGTTTGTACTAGAAAAATGCCAGGGGATTTACACTGGATATTACAGGCAAAACACTCAAATATTCTCCTGTGCTGTAATATCTTTGAATATGAAGGATATATCAATACCCACTAACACTCTTCTAAATTGAGGTTTCTCTTTTGCTGGATTATTAAGCTTTTGCCCTGAGGCTACAAAACCCCATCAACCAACAAATTTCAGGCCTGCTTATGCAATACTATATTTTCTACAAACTGTATTGTTGTCATGTCTGATGATGATTTAGCCCAACACACAAACAACGCAATTTGCCTTCCTACCAAGTCAGGTCACACGGTGCTGCGCTGAAAGAATGTAGAACATTTCACCAAAGTGTGTTGCAACACACTACAGCGCATCTCAATGCACTGCAGTTAAAAGAACGCAATGAAATGTCACTTTGTGAAAGGTTACAATGCGCTGTTTACAGCCAACTGATACCACCCTTAAGCCTTTCACTGCCAGAGCTGTTTTTCCATACATGTTAAAATCACATTTTAGGCACGAGAAAAACTTTACATCCCCCAGAATATATATTTTCTGAAAGTTGAGACCATGTAGAATAAAATGGTGGCAGTTGCAAATTTTTATGCTGCATTATATTAGAGCAACTGTTTATCAAACCCAAAATTTCAGTAAAAAAAAATACACAAGTTAATTTTAGTGCACAAAAACAACCAATGGGGGGAATTTATCAAAACTGGAGCAGACAAAATCTGGAGCAGTTGCCCATGGCAACCAATCAGCTTCTCTCTTCAGTTTGCACAGTTAAGATTTGAAAATGAAAGAAAAGCTGATTGGCTGGCTTGAACAGCTGCTCCAGATTTTGTCTGCTGCAGTTTTGCTAAAATTCCCCCCTATGTATTACCCATTTTAAAATACGAAAGAAAAGGTTGTGCTGAGTAAATAGGTATTCAACATGCCAAGCTTAAAAATTGTGCACAGCCATAAAACGGCGAAAACTACGGTACCCCAATTGTAATAACTGTTTATAGGTGATGCTTTAAAAGGCCTGTACTGGTCACCAATTTACAGTTAACCATTAATATTGTCCCTAAAATTCTCACTCTGGCGCACGTAGCAATACCCAACGTGTGGTGCAGTTGTTGTTTTCGTACATAGACACACTGGACACGTGTTTGCAATAGTATGTGCATGTAGGCGGGAATGAGGTACTTTTTATGGGTGCGTTTTGACATTTATTTTAACTTTTTTTTTAACTTAACTTCATTGCCATCACATATGTGATAGCACTTTAGTGGTGATAGGTGCTCTTTCAGGAGACATTAGGGGTCTAACAGCACAGATCATGCTTCTCTAGCCAGGGAATGACAGCTCAGAAATCGGAAGTGATGAAATCATCGTAGCTTCCAGGTTCCCATTAGCGTCGAGGAGATCAGCAAACGGATGTTTGCTGGTCTCTTTCTCCCCACTACCCGCTGACACCCGTGATGCTGGTCCCCAACTCGCAGGTGTGGCAGTGAAGCAAGACGAAGGATGTTGTCACACGTTCACTGGCCCCTGAAGCCGACAGTTGGCTTTACCCCGGTAAACAGACTGCTATAGCCGCTGGGAGTTCGTTTACAGGGGCCCACTGCTGTTGATGTATGACATACGTCAGCAAAAGGAATAAAGTGCATGTCCAGCAAATTGTTTTTCGGAACATCTTTTCAAAGATCCAGGGCTCGTTTCCGCTTACCCTCTTATATAGTGACAACGGCTACACCAGACAGTAAATAAAGAAAAATCTCTAAGAGCCAGACAAACATAAAAACCAGAACCAGAATGGCCAGTAAATGTTAGGATACATGACAATGCTCTCCCTTACTGGGAAGAACACGGCAATCTTTGTTATGCACACACTTGCTGCCAACAAAGATTCAAAACAAAAAGTTTTGTTTTTTTTTAATTAAAAAGGATAGCTCACATTTCGAGAACACAGCTGATAAGCTTACAGTACAAGTTGAACACCAAAACATTTAGCCAACAGAGAAAACTGCCAAAATTGGTAATCCAATATTCTACTGGATGAATTGTGAAGCCTTGGATTTCATCACTGTGTAATACTGGATTCCATCATTTAATATATACATTTTTTTTCTTCTATTGGTTGGAGGAGTAACTTTAACCATGCAAGAGTGATTTTCAGCATGTCTAGTCTAAAACAGTCTAACATGCCATCAAAATTTCTATTGCGGTATGGACACTTTAATTGTCTTCCTTTCACATTTACAAAAAGAGATGACAGGAATGAGTTCTATACAGGAGTTTGTAACTCCCTAACCGTTGTTATAGAAACATTTACAATAACCACACTGCAATATTACTTAAGTCACGGATTAAAACAAACACGTTTAAAAGTATTTTTATCATCAGCTAAGCTCACCTTCCCAAGGAAGAGTACAAAATCGCCCACCGTATTGATGGTAGCAACCCTTAGAGCGTTTTCCACAAGGATAACAAGTGCATCTTTTGCAGAAGTGCAGAAGTTGGTGCTGTTGATAGCAGTTGCTGTGTAAGCATTCTAGAGAAAGTAATCAGAGATCTGAATACAAAGATTCCATATACAATATATGAAAAACACAATGACTTCTATGGGTAAGATCAGCTTTAAAAAATTTCCATAAAAAGTCCAGTGACTCAGGTCAGAACTTTATATTAAAGAGTTGTTGGCAACATGCACTTAAGGTTTGCAAGAGCCTAATAGATGTGAAAAAATTGTGAACATAGATTTGTTTTTTTTTCCATATGTCCGACATTGTTAGCAATCCCACTGAAGCACTGCGCGGTCAGCCTCTCCTCAGTTTGACATGGCTTTAAATATTAAAATAAACTCTGCTACACTGAAAACAATAACAATGTATCAATATTTACGGCAGTAGGAAAATGTAAGTGTTAACCAATGGTTTCTAAACACACTCGAGTGTCCAATTCAACGTGGCACTCATGGGCTGTGCTTAGGGCAGCAGCGTGAAGTGAGCATCTTCAAGTCTGAAAACGTAAAATCTAGGATAATTTTTCCTTATATCCGGCTTATAGAAAAATCTGGAAAGTTGTGTCCTTCAGTAAGAAACCTGTAGGAGGGACAGGGGTGCAGGTGGTGTTGAAAGAAGTCAGAAGGCTCTTTGAGATCATTGTGGACTATGTGGTTGAAAAAAGACTCTGCATCTAAAGCAGATTGCATGCGGTCTCTGACAGAACAATGGGCAGAGCTTGCACAAAGTGGTCTCATTCAAAAGTGTGCCCAGGGTAGCATTATGTCTGATTTATTAAGCATATACATGAAATGTATGTTACTCACCTGATTTAAATATGTGAGGCACTTTTCCAGACACCAAAGGCAGCAGATACAGGATTTAAGCAGACACCTTGCGCAGGCATTTTCCTAGAAGACAGATGTTTAAACATTTCAATGCATAAAAAAAAACAGTAAGCCAAAAGCAACCAACACAACCAAGCTCTAGTTTTGGACACACACTAAAAGCACTGGGTTTTCAAGACTCGCATTCCACCTGGAAGGCAAAACAACTAAGTGCTCATACAACTTCAGATCAGCTTTTACAAAGTCCCAATACAGCTGTCTGGCGGTGGTTTTCTGATTGGTTTATCTTACTGGACTGCACTATTCCTTGCATAAGTAAACCAATGATATATTGTATAAATTTAGAAAACAAGGGTGCTTGTGGATAAAAGTTCAAGACCCAACGATATTCATTTCTATACAAACACATTTATGTAGCTGCATGAATACGCAGTTTACAGTTTTTGTACTGCACATAAGGCTGCTGCAGAAGAATGGAGTGACCTTTTTATGCATATGCTACGACGAGTACTGTCCATGGTTCTTTGTTTTATTTGCACTAACAGTTATACTGAATCCCTGCACACGGAATACACTTCCTCCTTTGCCCCCAGCAAAATAAAAGGATGCCCTGCCCAAAAGCACATATGGGGTGTTTTTTTCACTAGTGAAAAGGTAAGCACATCAAAATCATAGACATGCCAGTAGTGCTTTGCACACATCTCCAAAAAGAATAAGATTTGGATTAAACAACTCATGCCCAAATAACAATTTATCAAAATGGTGCCTGCAGATTACTACAGGAGGGGGTGGATACAAGACCAGTCACCATGCACAAGAAAAGAGATGCAAAGTTACACACTGGATTCATGCACAGACCTAGAAGGAATACACGTAGCACACCAAGATTTATGAATACACGTCTCTTATATTTAGACAATATTTGCCTATCCCGAGTTGAGACTTAATTATTCCAACCAAATCCTTAATAAAATACCAGCTTTCCTGCTGAGCGTAGTCACCTGCTTTCCTCAAATATTCTTACAAAGGGAAGCTACACACAGCATTCTTTCGTATTCTCCTTCTCACAAACACCCATCACAGTCTACGGGTGGTGTTGAGAGAACGATTGATAGCGGCTCTCGCATGGAGCCTTGCTGTCATCCAGTAGCAGAGTGCAAAAACTCATGACACACTGCGGCTTAGCACCGCCACAAGCACTGCTGTACCTAAGAAATGGATAGTAAATCACATAACCATCATTTTTTTTTTGCGCGAGTTGCGGGCATTGACATAATGAATGCATACCTAAAACGTATACCGGAGAGCTTTACAAACACTAAGTGCTTGTCAGTCCTGTCAGCCTTAAGAACAGGCTTCAAAAGAGAAAGCAGTGGGATCAAAGACCATTTAAAGGCCCTTTAAATCTCATTAACCCCTGAAGTTCAAGTCGCAGAGAAAGCGTGACACTTGACAGGCATGATTATGCAATTAGCTCATTTTAATAAGAATCCAATAGAAAATCATTCATCATAGTTAACTTGGGATCAAGCAATTTGCATTCCCATTTGTTAAAGACTGATTTGCCTTGCGATAATGTAAAAACTCTTCTATAGCTAATTAACTTCTTGCTGCTGGATGGTAAATTAAGATGAAAATAAAACAAATTTCCACATCTTTGTCTCAAATTTGAAAAGTCAAAGATGATCATTTTGCATTGATTATACATCTAGTTGACCAAACGTATCTGGCATAACAACATAAAAAAAAACACACACACACATCTCTCTCATGACCGGATAGAAAATCCAAATTATAGGGCGGGTGCTTAAATGACCGCGGATGCCTCTGCAAAATAAGTCCAAAAAATACAAAAAAGGTCACAAGCACTCCAGCATGTAGAAAAGCATGTTTGAACATTATCTGTTTTGCCTGAGGAAGGGACTTTGCTGTTCCGAAACGTCACTCTGATGATGTGACACCTTTGAAGTCAATAAATATTGACTTTTCTACATGCTGGAGTGTTTGTGACCTTTTATTGTATTTTTTGGCATAACAATATGCCACAGCATTTTCTAGAAAACCTAAATAACATAGACTTGGTGATTTCACAGGCCGGCATTCATTTCTACAGACAAAAACCTTATGAAACCATTTTTTTCTCAAATAGTACATAAAATATACAGATCTGGGTAATTGGGGTTTTTTAATTACTTTATATATTTATTACTTGGGATGTTACCAGTATCATGCCTGACTTATGAAGCTGCTGCCCTTTCTAGATAATGAGCAACTACAGAGGTACCCAGTGTAAATGCATTTTTAGGTTTCTGTTTTATTCAAAGATGCCTCTGTATATATTCATTAGAAAAATACAGAGGCATCTGCACTAGAGTCCCTGAGCTGGAACCCAAATACTGAAAAAAGCAATACCGGCGCCCCCGGTTTGCAGAGAAATCCGGCTGTAAAGTTCATTGGTACACCATAGAGGCAATATGTTTCTTTTGTGCTCACCAAATCTCGTTCTTAATGTCCTAATAGTACGTCCCACATACAATTTGCCACAAGGACATACAATTCCATAAATAACAAACAAAAGAAACCCCGAATGTACATGAAATACAAAGTATCCAGGGGGTTTAGATGACAGGCTGTGAACGCTAGAGCGGCTTTAGGTTTTTTGTAGTTCGTTTTCCCCGACATCCAATAAGCTCTGTATTCTTTTCTTTTCTTCCCCTTTTTTTGTTTCCTTCGAAATCTCTTAATTAAAATAGTCCCTTGATTATATAAACACCTATTATCCAAGTTGGGATATATGTATTCATTTTTTAAACACCAAGAAATAGTAATGTTTCCAACTGAAAAGGTTAAAAATTAGTCTTTACCAACACCAGCTGTCTGCTTGTCAGACGGAAGTCAGCAAAAATCTCAATTACTGGAGATTGGCTGAAACACCTATGTTAAAGACTAAACCTTTATGATTGGTCGTCTCCCAAATAAATAGAAGAACAGGACTTAGGAAAGTTACCTCAGGTTCTGATGAAGGGGGCGTGCCCCTGAAACGCGTAGACCTTTTTAAAAAACATACGGGAGCAGAGGACGCTGATTTGGAGATCCCCTCAGACTTCCCCTGCTGGAGATTTTATATTTTATCGTTTCCTTTTACGCTTATGATCATTGGCTTTCGTGTAAGTACATTTTCACTTGCGTGTTGTACTCGTCAAATAAAAGTTTTACACTATGGAGGCGCTCTGTGTTGCTTTTGTTTCCTGGAACCCAAATACTCTGACTTCATTAGCTGCACTGACAAAGTATTGAACCCAGGGGGTTACCACAACAGCTAGTCAACTAGTATTCTATAAAGGATAGGTCAGCAATGGCAGCATGTGTTTCTTGCAAAAGGTTTATTTTACCTGGTTCACTCCTGTGCTAAAGAAACTATACACTGAGTGGCCAGATTATTATGACCACCCCCATCAGTACTTCGTTGGGCCACGAGATTACTTCGTTGGGCCGCCTAGTGACTCCACGAGATGTTGAAAGGTGATGCGAGGAATCTGACACTGCACTGTTGCCCTTCTGTTGTCTTACCACTCTCCGTTCTGCCCTAACATTGACTAGTCGCTGACGGCCACAATTCGCACGTTCAGACCCAGATTTTCGTCTGAAAGTCCAGTCTTTAAACACTTTAACAATGAGCCCCTCTTGAACATTTAACAAATTCTGCTGTTTTGCTGGTACTCGCTCCATGGCTCCGCACGCTAACAATCATCCCACGTTCAAAGGCTGTTAAATCGCGTTGTTTACCAATATCTGCAGAAAAAAATCACTTCTACTGTCATGGTAAACAACCTGCTTCCCTATTTATAATGGCCTGGCCCTCTAGCAACTTCAGCGAGAAATAGCTAATTTGCCTACAAACGTCAGGTGGTCATAATAATCTGGCCACTCAGTGTTTGTTCCATTCTTGGACTGAGAGCCTGCAGCCAATCACAGTGATCACATGGGTTTGTTTACAACATTTTAGTCATTGTGCCTCTCAAAGTGAAAGGCACAATAACGGTGGCAGCGGACAGTAAAAACTAAAAAAATATTTATACTTTATAGTGTTTCTTTTCTTTGAAGCAGGATCATATTTGATATGGAGCTCACCTTGCCCTTGAGCTGGCTATGAATGTACATGAGGATCATTCGGGGGATTTTCACCAAGGTAATAATGAAGGCTCCTTTTGCCACTGTCCCCAGATGGTAGAGTACGAGTCGATTTACAGACGCTATAATAGGTGTAAATGGGAGGTCTCTCTTGTTTCTGTAGACACAAAGTTAAGAATATCATCTACACAGTAAGGTGTACAGCACAAGTGACCACATCCTTTTTAAGCAAACTATTGCAAAGATGACAGTTTCCGCGCGTGAATTTATGAATAACATACAATAAACAGCTAAAAACACATATACATTCACAAATAGCTTAAAGCACAACTCCAGCAAGGAATTGTACTTTTGTTTTGGATAGTGGGGGAGAATTAAAGCCAGTCAGGTTTTTATTGCCATCTGTGTTTCTATTGGGGAGGTTTCCTAATTAGAAGAAAGAGATGGAAAATCTCTCCAAAGGGGAGGCAGAAACTAATATTTCAGTAGAGTTGAGAAAGGTTACAACATCTGACAATGTTTTGTGCCCTGCTGCCCCAAGAATGCCCAATTTGCCCTCCTTCCATATACTGTACAGACTTCAGAGATAAGAAATTGTGGAAAAATTCCCAATAGTCACAGTCAGAAATAAAAACCTGGCAAAAACGTGCTTTTCTTCTCCCTTCTCTTTCTAAAAAATCTGACTGTCAGTCTTATATACTTGACTGAAGTTCAAGCCTGCTGGGCCTAAATGGATACAACAAAACAGAGGGGAAATAATGATCACTGCTTCACTAGCTAGACAAGATTCAAGATGGAAACCCAATGACTGGATCCACTGGTCTGTATTGGCACCACATATTATACCAACACACACACATACAAAAGGGCATGTAAATTACTTTTCAGTTATTTTATAAATCTGAAAACACTTAATCTTTGCCAGTATAATATGTTAGTCAAAAGGGTATGACCTCTATTTCACTTTCCTGCTTTGTAGGCATGTCCAGCTGTGTGTCATTATAGTCATGCACATTTTCAATAATTTGTTAAAACATCTCACCTTGTGAAATAATAAGTGACTACAGCTCCAGCTATTGTCATTTGCTGGCAGGCTAAAATAAACTCGCTGATCCATATGAGCCCTACTACATGATACCACCACATGTACTGCAGAGGACCATTAATCTTGAACTCCACAAATCCTTGCTCATTAGTATGTGGATCACCTGCAAGAAAACAGAAAAACATTTTTTTACATGTACAGGAAATTGTAAGCCCCTCTATGTGATAGCAATTAAAGTAAAAAAACAAAAACAAACCCCAAACAAGCCATTTAAAAAAATAAACATTTACTCAAAAACACACGTTGGGTGTGCCTACGTACGAAAAGAACAATCGTGCTACACATGTGAGGTATCGCCGCTCACGCCAGATGGAGAGCAATAATTCTTTGGCCAATATTCATCCGCACCTCTGATGACCTGTAGGAGCTTTTAAAGAGTGGAGTATGAACTTTTTGGGGTACTGAACTTTGTTGCCGTTTACGGACGCACACAATTTTTAACTTGCGCATGTTGGGTATCTATTGACTCATCATAACAAAAATGGGTATTATATTCTGCTTTGGGGCACTAAAATTTATTTAAGGGCATTTTTCACAAACGTTTTGGGTTTGATAAAGAGTTGTGCCAATATCGTGCAGCATAAAAATTTGCAACTCCCACCATTTTATTCTACAGGGTGTTGGCTTTCAGAAAATATATAATGTTTATGGTTTTGAAGTAATTTTCAGGCCCAGAATGTGGATTATAACCTGTGTGCAAAAAAACAAAAGAAAGGCAGCGAAAGGGTCAAACCTGAACTAAGATAAACAAATGTTTTTTTGTTTTTTTTAAATTGGCTCTTATTTAAACCCTTATTAACCCTTACTTAGCACAAAGTATGCCTAATTAACTACTTTCATCCCTTAGCTATGATTTTGATTTCTCCTTTTTTATATTTAAAAACTTTGTCATTTTCGTTTATATATTTTTTTTATAGTTCCATTTAAAAAAAAAAATCACAACAATGAAAAAGCTTCTATTTAATTTGTTATGAACACATTCCTTTTAGTGTCTTTATAAATTGGACAAATTATAAAATTAAATGTGTACATTTTAACACTAGCTATTTTAATACTACCAGTGGTCCAAAAAATGTTTTTTGTTTTTTTTAAGGACAACCAAAATAAATCCTTACTTCCCCCGAAATTTTAACATGTATTCTTATCCTGGTGTGTCAGCTTGCAACAAACCTATTATATGTTTTTCTTTATTATCTTAGGTAATGACAGGTATCGTTGAAGTAATAGGCCCATAATAAAAATGCAGAAATTGCTCTGGTATACAGGTGCAAGAGCTGAACGGTTAAGAATACAAAAAGTATGATATAAGGAAACATTGCATACAGACATTTTTTCCAACCAAATATGCTGCACAACAAAAGTTCTAAAAATAATAAAAAAAAACTCTCAGCAAACATGTACTAGATAAAAACTTTTTGAAAACAGTAATTATGTATAGTAGGCATCAAAGGTGCAAATGTGTGTACCTGTAGCTTTCCCCAAACACTGCCATATCTAGGATAAGTAGAGCTTACCATGTCCCCTCCCCACAATGAGCACTTTCATGTTGGGGCCCTCCTTATGCCTATTCAATATTGACTTCCATAAAACAGTTGTCTGTATAAGATATTCAGAGGATGCAACGCTTTGAAGAGATTTGTAGAATTTTACAGCCATGCTTCTGCAGCTTATGGTGTCTACTATACAGAAATCACTTGCAAATTCCAACTAGTTTAAAAAGGTACATGTGTGCTGCCGGAGAAACACACAATGTTAGATACATAAAAAAAAGATATCATAATTATGAATCATTTAGATAAAAAAAATAGTACATGCTTCCTTCCAGTTTGCAGCTAAAAACTATTTTAAACTGACATACCTGCAGTTCCCAGAAAAAGCAAAACCATCACCCAGTAGACCCAAAACAGCAGAAGAGCAAAAAAGGTCCAAAAGGGCTGGAAGACTAGCAACGGGAGATGTATGAAAACCTTTCCAGCCACATTGAACAAGGCAATTGTGAGGCCAACTCGCTTCCTCATAACCAGCATGATGAGCAATAGGATCACCTGCCGAGAAACAAGATCAGACACAGATGATACCATAAACACGGATGCATAGACTGACCTAAAGAAAAGATGGGTCACAAAGGTGCCTCTCAAATACAAAGCATGCACGGTTGCATTTCATACATTGAAATCTTTCTAAACCCTTTGCAAACCTACAACCAAATATTTGTCTAAATTAATGAATTGGGATGGTACTTTTCCAAAACATTTTTTAAGCAGTAGAGTGTTTTGTATATTTATAGGTACAAAAATGCTATAATGCTAGATATATGCAAAAAAGTTTCCCACAGTAAGGGGTAAAGGTGGAAATGTGTTGGTCTGACCAGTAACAAAACCCAGGGACCTAACTGTTGAGGACTTAGTTGAGGACTGAAGATCAATCTGAAAGCGCTGAAGGAGAGCACACTTTAAGGTAAGAGCGGGTGCATTATTACAACTCATCACAGTGTTATTTTTTTTTTTTAAAGAACATTCAATCAACTCAACGCAGGTCATGTTGCTGTGTGTTGTAATGCGATGTGCTGTGAATAAACCACATGCCATCGTCATATTTTCACAGTGCACACCAATGCAGCACAGAGGATCAGGTGTTACCATGACACATCGGTATGAAGCTCATTTCCAGATTTTTATAGCAAGCTGCTAATTTACAATTTTGCATACTTTCGATTTTCACGGTTTCCCAAAAAGGCACAATTAAACATTTACAAATCCTTGTTATTTACTAGCACAACAAAAATGTTCTTTTGTTTAGTAGACATTTTGTAATTTAGGTTGTGTTTGTACGCTCTAATAATGAATTAAGTGAATTTGTAAAGACAATTTTGTTTTGACCACATTTATGCGACTATCACAGGATGTTCAGCAGCACCATCTTTTTATTCTAACGGTCCAGCATACCGGTAAATTCAATACAATACAAATATGGAACAGGAAGAATGAAATGTGAGAGTCACATAAAAAAAAAGTAAACATTGAAATAACTCAAAACAAGTGGGAAATGCATTATACTTTCCCTTTTAAGGGAAACTGCTTTGTAATCCTCTTTCACAAAGATCCATCTGAATCAGCAGTGGGGAACCTCCGAGCCCTCCAGCTGTGGTGAAACTACAGATCCCATGATGCATCTGTCTCTGGGAGTCGTGCCTGTGGCTGTGAGAGTCTTGCAATGCCTCATGGGATTTGTAGCTTCACCACAGCTGGAGGGCCGGAGGCTCCCCACCCCTGATGTAAATAAAATTTTGGGACAGCCATTGTTCTTCAATGGTTACAAATTTTAAACTACTGCACATTTAACAATTCAGTTTGTATTGTACAGAATAGTAGAAAAGATCTTGCTGAAAGTCCATCGGTAACAATGTGGCAAAATGGAAATACAAAAAATATACACTGACCATTTCCACCTCAACATGCGGCACTACAATGTATTCACCTACTTTACATACATGGAAGCTGTAGTTGTGGTTTTCTTATTCTGAAAATGCCATTTGCATGGCTTCTGTTTCAAAACTTTGAGACACTAACCCAGAACAAGTAGATAAGAAGTTCTGACTTTCTTTATCGGCATAATGCTTCGAGATCAGTGACTCAAAGTACTGAACCTAGAGGGTCAACATAAGGAGGCAGACAACTAGCATTTTCAACAAGAGGTCAGCAAAAAATAAAAACAAGACAACATAAAGCCACACATACATACATGTATATTTAGCCCACATGTATTTTGCTCCCATAATTAGACCAAGCTATGGCAAACTCTTAAAAAAGCCTGCATTTCTGCTAAGTGCATGCTATGATTAGTGCATACATGCCTCAACACCACTGACATGGTAAAAGTTCTCTTAAGCCACAGAAAAGGTTTTTAAATAGTCTAACCTTATTAAGTCATGAATATTAGGTAATAAAAGATGACTGAAAAGTCACTGGCTCCCATCAAACAGATGTATAACATATCAGCTCCCAGAGAGGATACTGCCAATGTAAAAGGCAATCTAAGGTGATGTATTTAACAAATTACAAAAGAAACTTCTTGCTGAATCTCGGCATACAAGCACAGTTATTTAGGAGAGGTGTCACCAGCTATCTTCAGCTGTTACCGCTGTCACTCTGCTGCTATTAATAAACAAGTGACAGAAAGAGGTGACCCACTTTCTTGTACAGTCAGCATAATAAAACATAAAGCCTTACGGTAAAGACAGTGGCTGCAATGGCATAGATGAGCAAGGCTTGCTGGTTGTCTTTGGAAATTTGAAGTTGGTCTGGTGGAAGATCTTCACTGAACGATTTCCTGTGCTCCGCATACATCCACCAAAGAACACCTGTACCCCCTGCAACAGTGCAAAAAGATTTACAAACGTAAATAAAAAAGGTAAAAAAACAGAAGACAAGGCGTCTTGTTATTAATAATATAAAAAGGACAGAAAAACCTGCACTAAGGATATGGAGGTAAAGTCAAATGTGCCGCCTTTTTTAGGAACGTGTTCTATGGCAATATGCTGCCAGTGTTAAAAAAAGGACCTCTAAACTAAATAGCGTTTTAAGTTTAGGCTGCAGTAATAGGTGATATAATATATGAAGGAGGTAATACGCTCTGCTAAAATTATCACCCAAAGTTGCTCCTACCATTCTCACTGAGGATCCCCGATATTCCTAACATGTCCTGATGAAAGGGGAAGAAATAGTAGATGTTGGCAGCAGGAACCCCAAAGAATTAGCTTTATTCTGAACAGCAAAGTATTACTTTACACTTCTCCCGACCTCATTCTCCTCTACTAAACACAATATTAATGCTTTCACATAGGAAATACCATATAAAATGTAAAACAAGGAAATATAAAAAATCAAGGAACGTTAAATATGATACATCAGCTCTTCCTAATGATTCATTTCAACCAGAAAACATGCTTCCATAGAATACACTATTCTTTCCCTGAAAACGGCTTCCTCCATAATGGTCAATCATTTGGAAAGGACAAAATCTTAGGCACAAGCATTTGTTGTCTGTTGCCAAAAACAAGGTAAGCTCAAGGTCAGATAGTTTACTGAGCTGATTGCTGCACTGTGACATAAGCAAGCCCAATGACCAACTTAGAGCCAGCAGAGTTTTTATGAAACAAAAGTGGATTGCAACTCCTAACTAATGACATACAAAACAGAACAACAGAATAGCTTATTATTTTATCACTTGCCATTCATACAAGCATGCAGAAGTAGAGGATATTAAAATATGGCGCAAGCAAAAAAACATCCAGGTACTTGAAATATCTCCTGATAAATCTAACCCTTTAGTAAAGTATTATAAACGGGTCTGGTATTTATAGATTGTTTCGTATCTCCATGTTCTCTCCCCACGTCAGACCCCTTTGAAAACTGAATTTTAAGTGACACTAAACTCAGGAGGTAAACCTTAAAAAAGAAAGGACGTGCCAGCACAAATTCAGAGATGATTTGAGGATCCACAGCCGAGTGATACACAAATAAGATACATTAATGTTATTAGTTAGGGTATTTGAGTGTATTTTAAGGATTTAACCAAGTTTAGGGTCACTTTAAGACTAAACTTTTGAAACAACCAATTGTGAGTAAGCGATCTTTATTAATCTCATATCGGTAGTGGTCAACTCACTTGATATAGGGGGTCTGAGGTATGGCCTCTGACATCACCAAGGGGTCGCATATAATATTCAGTGAATATGATGCTACAGAAACCTGTCAGACTGCAGACATGTTAATGGAGATGGTCAGAGGCTTCAGACATGCTACAGGAGTTGAGGACTTGGGAAATGCTTTGGGAAAATCAGGCTAGAGATGCATAACATGAAACTTCTGAATAAAGTTTTGCAGTTTATACGAAATGGGATAGGAGCCTTTACTCTCCTTCTCTCAATTAACCGCTCCTATCCCATCTCATATAAACTGCAAAACCTTTGAAATTGATTGCTTGGTATATCGCTGAGATTATTCTAAATATTTAACCCCTTGTATCTATCTGAGAGGGGAATCAGAGCGTATATCTTATCTTATAAAATTGGGACTGTTCACTGTTTATACGGGTTATTGAGACACTGAGAAAATTGTGTGTATAATACTAGGAGATTTATCACATTTTTTTACGATTAGGATATTGAAATCACTATTTTTTGATCACTGGATCAAGTTTACACATGCAAGATTTTTTACCCACTGGTCACTTATATAAGGATTGCAATTAAGTCTTTTTGTATATATTTGTTTAATTACAGAGTGTTTCTGGGCTATAGTGTTCTGGCCCGGCACTTCTGCCACATATACATTCACTGATACACCGTGATGTGTCCGAATGTATTACCTATTTATCACATGCCGTAATAATGATTGGTCGGCATTTATACATTGTTTATGGTTTTCTTCTGAACTGAGAGATAGTTTCACATTTTTTGATAATTCACTTATTGATCACATACTGAGATAGAAGATTCTGGCATTTACATAGATGTTTATGGTTTTCTTGATTTAAGAGTTTGTCCTTTTTTATTTTTGGAATCCACATCCACTTAAGACCGAGCGCAACTTCCTTTCTACATTAGATATTCACCCTCACAGAGTTGCTGCTGGTCCTATCCGCCATTTAGACATCCAGTCCTAGCGCAGTGGTTCTTGAACCACAATTTGTATGGTATATCTACTTTGTGGTCTAAACTGTTAGGCCATACATGTAAAGTTAGAAATTAATAGATTATAATACTGATCAATAACAACACTTTATTCAAGCATCCTAGACAACGTGTGATGAATATGTTCCATTTTATAGTGCTCATGAAAGGTGACCTACTTGATATGACAAAAAGGCCACGAGAGTCTGAATTAAAGAGGTTTACAATGTGATTTATTGAATGAATGGCTTGTAGGGGTAACTAGGGACCCATTACAGGGATCTGAAATCAGCCAGCTAATGATGTTCTCTGACATTCATTCCACATGTTCCAGCATCATAACAGGGACACGTATAAATTAAACCATTTCTCTGATTATAGGCACAAAATGGAGAACAGCTCGATCAATCTTCTCAGCCAAGAATAAATCTTGCCTTGTCCTTCAGTGACAATAAGTCATTTGACTATTTCACAAGTCCAAATTAAAATGAGCATTTGCCGATAACCTGTACCTCTGAAGTGAGAATATTTATGCACGATTTGACTAGGGCTGCAACAACTAAATCGACATAATCGATTATAATCGATTATTGAAAAAGTTGTCAACTTTTTCAATAATCGATTAATCGGCAACAAAACCTAGGTGCAAGAAACTAATCTCCCTGTGTTTGCGTGAGTTTCCTCCCACAGCCCAAACAGATGCAAGAACAGGGGTCTCAAACTCGATTCACTCGGGAGCCACAATACAAAACATTTTTTCTCATGGGGGCCGCCTGCCAAATTTCATACTTTACACACACTGATACGCACACATAGAAATATGCACAAACCCCAGCAACCAGAACTACAAAAAACACTGATATACACACAATAAAGACCCCATTTAAACCTGTAAGTTTAGGTGCGATTAGGGATTCCTGCGTCAGGAATCCCTATTATGGCATTTACAAGCGGCAGCTGCCACCCATTCAAGTTAATATTCAGGTGACAACCGCTGCATGTAAACGTGTGTGATATAACGTGTAGTTAGGAATCAATCATTATCCCTAGATGCATCGATCGTGCATCCAGGGATTGTACAGGGAGTGGACTGCTGAGGACTGGGAGAAAATCATTTTCTCTGATGAATCCCCTTTCCGATTGTTTGGGGCGTCTGGAGAAGAAAAGGTGAGCGCTACCGTAAGTCCTGTCTCATGCCAACCGTAAAGCATCCCGAGACCATTCATGTGTGGGGTTGCTTCTCAGCCAAGGGAGTAGGCTCACTCACAATTTTACCTAAGAACACAGCTATGAAGAATGGTACAAAAACATCCTACAGGAGCAACTTCTCCCAACCATTCAATAACAGTTTGGTGACGAACAATGCCTTTTCGAGCATGATGGATCACCTTGCCATAAGGCACAAGTGATAACTAAGTAGCTTGGGGAACAAAACATCGTCATTTGGGGTCCATGGCCAGGAAACTCTCCAGACCTTAATCCCATTGAGAACCTTTGGTCAATCCTCAAGAGGCGGGTGAACATAAAACCCCCCACAAATTCTGACAAACTCCAAGCATTGATTATGCAAGAATGGGCTGCCACCAGTCAGGATGTGACACAGAAGTTGACTGACAGCATGCCAGGGCGAATTGCAGAGGTCTTGAATAAGAAGGGTCAACACTGCAAATATTGACTCTTTCTATAAACTTAATGTAATTGTCAATAAAAGCCTTTGACACTTATGAAATGCTTGTACTTATACTTCAGTATACCATAGTAACATTCGACAAGATCTTAAAAGCAGCAGACTTTGTGAAAATATTTGTGTCATTCTCACAACTTTTGGCCACGACTGAATGTGAAGAAGACACTTGCCTTCTTTCTTTTTCCTCTTAGTGGATCTGCCAGATGCAGCAGGTATACATTTTAAAACAGCTGCATTTCTCATGGATGTTCTGAAGGTGAGGGAATTGAGGCTGACTCAAGGTGTAAAGGTACAAGATTAGGGGCTGATCCAAGGTCTGAAGGTGCAGAAATTGGGGCTAATCTGAGGTCTGAAGTTGTTTTTCACTGAAGCGTATTGTTCACTTGCACGCTGGTTTTCTAATGTTTGTAAACTGACACTTCATGTGGAAAATGTTTGAGCCCTGCTGTAGAGTCTGACTGCTTTTCTCCACCTTTGCAAAAATATCAGGTTTAAAAAGACTGCAATAACGATTATCCTCCATGGGCTTGAGATGACCCTCAGAAGGCTAATGATTTCCAACTCAATACAGTTAAAGGCCATAACAGATAATTCATGATTATAAATGTTTACATACATACTGTACATGCACATCTACACACAAATATTTCCATTTTATGTAGGCAGCAAAACTCACCAAGAGATCCCAGGATGACCAAGATGGTTAAGATCCATACAAGCACTCTAGAGATGTATCTGATTATAACCATTAAAATCATTGAAAGCACTGCAAGGAAAAGAAAAATGGCACATTGTAAACAGTTTGTAGGTCACTGCATACCAAAACTAATTGCAAGAATAGACATTTTATAGAAAGATTAAAGGCTAATCAAAAGTACATAAATGAGCAACTTAATACCCATATGTACACTCCAACCAAGATTACATAGAAGTAACTTGCAGGAAGTCAAAAAGAATCGTGTAATCCCATGCCTAAGGTAATTTACAGCTCGACTGTTGCTGCACACACTCTGTAGAGCACCTAACTGGTAGCTATGTAATGCCGCTTGTCTTCTAAAACTGCTCCAGGGCTGTGAGATAGTAGAAACTTCTCCTTCAAGTCTTCCTTGTAGATGCCAAGCCAGGTGGTTCATCAGCACAGGCACACACCCTATACTATATAAACACCGGTCCAGGGATGAAGAGGTGGCGATTTAAACACTAGAGTTGAATGCACAAGTCAATGTTAATTCTGAAGTGAAATAGTTTGAAACTCCAAGACAGAAAGTGGCTGGAGAAAATCTCTCCAACACTGGGAGTCACTCTATAGCAGTGTTTCCCAACCCTTTTCCAGTTGTATACCACAGTCCCAATCACTGCAGTATCCCAGATCCACCTGTACTGTTAACAAATACCACGTGTAAGATTTTGCGAAACGTCCACTGGAACATATTCCAGCCGCTAATATCAGTTTCACCATGTGGTATCGAGAAATCCTGAACCTTCCTGTGTCCCATCTACTGTGAGAAATTTAAGAGATACCTAGCTGACTTGCTTTTGAAGGTACATACTCTAGGGCTGTCATGTGTAGCCCTTCTCCACTACTTTGAGGATCATTGTTCTTAATATGTGTACGAATGGTGGTAACTTGCTGTTCCCCTTAAAAGAAACCTATGCTGGCATAAATATGGAAGTTGCCATTTTGGTTTAAATGCTACTTCCTTGACTACAAAACTGATCCAGAGCTAAAACACTTTCTGAATTTTTAAACAGAACCAGCTATGCCGATCAGCGATTTTTACTTTACTGGCTGCATAACTGTTTTAATTCAGTCCCTCAAAGTACCAAAGTCATAGTATTGGTATGAATGCCAGGCAGCTAGCATTCTCACAAGAGGTCAATAGAAACCACATATTCCTCTCAGCTCAAGTTTCCTTTATACAACAAGGGGAAACAAAATCAACTAATCACTGAAAGCTCTAGAAGACTGTATATTTTATCTGTCGGAAATCTGAGACCATCAGCACACTACTTTGCTATAAATTGCAGAGGAAAGCTTTCTTGCCTTGATGTAGTGATGTGCAGTATGGCAACAGAATGCTTATCAGTATTACAGATGACAATGTGTCAGCAAAGTGTTATAGGTGGCCTTCTGTGTCAGGCATGCCTACTTTCTGCCAACTACTGTATTGATTTTTATCTTTCAGCCTTGTCTGTGAATAATCTCTACTGTGCAATGATAAGCATACACAAGCCCGAAAACAAAAATCGAGCTGTGTCAGAAGATGCAGTCAAGTTGCAAATGCACTGCAAATGAGAAATACATTTACAATATTAGGCCAATTTAAACGTGGTAATGTTTTGGAATGAGAATGGTGATCTCTGATTTACAGAGACTGTTACATGGATGTGAAGCTCCCGTGGGCCTGAGTCAGCAAATTCTATGTCATGTAGAAACATTCACTGGTCACAGAGATGAATAGAGGTCCACTTTAGCCCTATGACAGCTGTCCATCAGAGGATATTTGTAGGCTTTAATCTCATGTAGCTTCTTGTAAGTGTAGTCATGTAGTAGTAAATCATGGTGCTTAGTATCAACTTTCTGTCATTGTTCCATAGTCTGCAACCCCCATTAGTTACACTCTCAATAAGGAATTTACAGGTGAAACTCGAATAATTAGAATATCGTGCAAAAGTTAATTTATTTCACTAATGCAACTTAAAAGGTGAAACTAATACACGAGATAAGACTCATTTACATGCAAAGCAAGATAGTTCAAGCCGTGATTTGTCATAATTGTGATGATTATGGCTTACAGCTCATGAAAACCCCAAATCCACAATCTCAGAAAATTATTACATGCAATCAATAAAACAAGGATTGTACATAGAACAATAGAATGGAAGCTATCATCCTGTGGCACTGCTGAGGTGTTATGGAAGACCAGGATGCTTCAATAGCGGCCTTCAGCTCTTCTGCATTGTTCGGTCTCATGTCTCTCATCTTTCTCTTGGCAATGCCCCATAGATTCTCTATGGGGTTCAGGTCAGGCGAGTTTGCTGGCCAATCAAGCACAGTAATCCCACGGCCATTTAACCAGGTTTTGGTGCTTTTGGCATTGTGGGCAGGTGCCAAGTCCTGCTGGAAAATGAAGTCAGCATCCCCATAGAGCTAGTCTGCGGAAGGAAGCATGAAGTGCTCCAAAATCTCCTGGTAGATGGCTGCGTTGACCCGGCACTTAATGAAGCACAGTGGACCAACACCAGCAGATGACATGGCTCCCCAAATTAACACAGACAGTGGAAACTTCACACTGGACTTCAAGCATCTTGCAGTGTGTGCCTCTCCATTCTTGGTTTCCAAATGAGATGCAAAATTTACTCATCAGAAAAGAGGACTTTGGACCACTGAGCAACAGACCAGGTCTGTTTTTCTTTAGCCCAGGTAAGATGCTTCTGACGTAGTTTGTTGTTCAGGAGTGGCTTGACAAGAGGAATACGACATTTGAAGCCCATGTCCAAGATCCGTCTGTGTGTGGTGGCTCTTGATGCACTGACTCCAGCCTCAGTCCACTCCTTGTGAAAATGTCCCCAACAATTTTGAATGGCCATTCCTGACAATCCTCTCCAGGCTGCGGTCATCCCTGATGCTTGTGCACCTTTTTCTTCCACACTTTTCCCTTCCACATAACTTTCTATTAATGTGCTTTGATACAGCACTTTGGGAACATCCAACTTCTTTTGCAATTACCTTTTGAGGCTTTCCCTCCTTATGGAGGGTGTCAATGATGGTTTTCTGCACAACTGTCAGGTCAGCAGTCTTTCCCATGATTGTGATTCCTACTGAACCAGACTGAGGCCTGGTTCACACCTGGGTGTTTTGTAGTGCGTTCGAACGCTCTGCAAAACGCTCAAACACCGATATCCTATTATTTCCTATGGGTATCGTTCACACCTGGGCGTATTACACAGGCCGTATATGAACGCGCTACAAAACGCCCTACGCCCAAAGAAGTACAGGAGCTTCTTTGGGGCGTTTTTGTTGCGCGTTTCCATTGGGATACAGCCAAGTAGCCCTCGGAAACGCGCGTTTGTCGCGCGGTTTTCTTACTGCGAATCGCGGTACGAACGCGCATATTCGATACGCCTAGGTGTGAACCCAGCCTGAGAGACCATTTAAAGTCTCAGGAACCCTTTGCAGGTGTTATGGCTTAATTAGCTGATTAGAGTGGGACACTTTGAGCCTAGAATATTGCACCTTTTCACAATATTCTAATTTCCCGAGATTGTGGATTTGGGGTTTTCATGAGCTGTAAGCCATAATCATCACAATTATGACAAATCACGGCTTGAACTATCTTGCTTTGCATGTAAAGAGTCTATCTCATATTAGTTTCACCATTTAAGTTGTATTAGTGAAATAAATGAACTTTTGCATGATATTCTAATTATTCGAGTTTCACCTGTACATCCTGTACTCATACATACTCCCTGTATTTGTATAGTTTTCTTCCAGCTGGCCCTGGCTCTTTCAATAATCCAGAGTTATATGGGTAGGCTAACTGACATGACTGCAGAAGGGAAATTAGCTTTACAAATCATGGCATGATCTGAATGGCTCTATATATTCTATAAAGTTATGCAGAATATGTCTGACTATATACATACATACATACATTAAATATACAAAAAGAAAATAAAAGGTTTACGGGTCACAAAAGCTTAGTAAAATAGGTACAAACCTTGAAAGATAATATTTAATATGACACTGTAGCTTAAAGCATCAAAACAATGAAGCCACAAAGTAATTGAATAAAAAATTAGATTCTTAACTCTGACAGCATTAAAAAAAAAAGGACAAAAATAATTAATATTTTCAACTGATAAAATATGTAAAATCTGTGCTTATGGATTAAAATATGTGTACATATATATTTAATATATGTATATTAAAAGCTGCTGAGCCAGGGACACTGGGGTCAAAATGTATATGAATGAGTGTGCAGCGCTCGGGGTCACCAATGGGTGAACTATCAAATGTACAAATACGTGTTATAAAAAAAAAAAAAATATATAGGTGTTTATAATATTTAGTGCATAATCTGCTACCATACCATGGTGGTAGCCAGTGAGATATTAAATACCAAATTTCACTTTGTGCAAAAGTGCAATGAAATAAACCTTATTATGATAAAATTCCTTGTTGCAATCAATTAGTAAACGTGCATCAAATCAATTCAAAGGTCATCTATGCAAGTGATGAATAATAAAGTCAGTCCAAACTGTTAAGTCCAAATATATCTATCTATCTATCTATCTATATATTATATTGATGATGAAAAAACTTCAAAAACAGAGTGCTTAATAATCTTTCTCCCACACCGTGTGTTCATGACAAAACTCCCCTCTGGGGTGCGACCTCACCAAACCATTATTGTTTATAGGCAATAAAGACATGAGAAGCCGATATGTGGTCCCAGCAAATGTCTCATAAGAGTCCCATGGATCGATATTTAACGAAAATAAAAAAGGGAAACTCCTCATGGTGTAGTCGACATTAACATTTAAAAAAAAGTAACTTACAGTTAAAAACGAATAGATCAGCCGCTCACAGGCAGCGTATGGATGTCCTGTACTTCCTTGTTGTGCGTGGTATTGAGATGTATAGCCCCAACGCGTTTCGTTATAAGAGACGTCCTCAGGGGGATCGCACGTCGGGCCTATAATCTCAATACCACGCACAACAAGGAAGTCCGAGGACGTCTCTTATGATGAAACGCGTCGGGGCTATACATCTGTATAACGGTTTATGTCGACTACACCATGGAGGAGTTTCCCTTTTTATTTTCGTTAAATATCGATCCATGGGACTCTGATGAGACGTTTGCTGGAACCACATATTGGCTTCTCATCTCTTTATTGCCTACAAACAATAATGGTTTGGTGAGTGCGCACCCCAGAGGGGAGTTTTGTCGTGAACACACGGTGTGGGAGAAAGATTATTAAGCACCCTTTTTTTGAAGTTTTTTAATCATCAATATACTATATATATTTGGACTTAATAACAGTTTGGACTCACTTTATTATTCATCACTTGCATAGATGACCTTTGAATTGATTTGATTTACTAATTGATTGCAACAAGGAATTTTATCATAATAAGGTTTATTTCATTGCACTTTTGCTCGAAGTGAAATTTGGTATTTAATATCTCACTGGCTACCACCATGGTATGGTAGGAGATTATGCACTAAAGATTATAAACACCTATATATATATATTTTTTTGATAACACGTATTTACACATTTGATAGTTCACCTATTGATGACCCGAGCGCTGCACACTCAATTATATTCTCAACTATCAGACATTTTTGAGAAACATCAAAGTTTGCCTGTGCCCATACTATGGCCATTAAACTACAAACAAAACAGAAAAAGAGCTTTAAAAACATGCCATCCCTGACCTCTCTAGATGCATATAAGGTAACAGTTATTTATTCTCAAAGATTACAAGGACTCAAGAGTCAGTTCCTACCAGCTTAGCAACACCTACTGATTGTTTAGATTAGAGAGCTGGCAAGCTGCCAAGATCTGATCTCATAATAAAAAAAAAACTAAGATTTCAAGGCCTGTGTTGTTAACTTTGAAAATTGATTTCTCTACAATGCTTATAGATACAGAGATGAATGAGGGTGTGTTTAAAAGTGCTTTTGCTGCTTGTTCAGGATATGCAAATACTTCAGTGTGCATTATCTGGGCACATAATCACCTATCAAATGAAAACATTTAAAGAGCAATTACACAAAAGCTAAAGACATCCCATACCAAATCAGATCTTATAACCTGTAATAGGCCAACCAATGAATGTCCTAGAAACACTGACATTTGGAGAAAGCCAATTTAACAAAGTCAGTATTTTAAAAAATATTTGCAAATGATTTGGCAGGATGTATCTAATAGAGCAACTAGCTACTAACAATGGATGCTAGGATTGACATTCAGATAATAATTAAATTCCCAAATTTACTCATTTGAAAACACCTTTACAGGAAATTTACATATGGAAAATGTACACATGACATCTTTAGTTAGATCAGGATTGCTAATTAACATTCCAATTACACTATGATGTACTTGATCGGAAGGGGGATGCTTAGAACCCAATACTTGTTGAGTCAACAGGAGAGCAAGTGAAGGGAAATCTCTCCAATGAGTATGACCACAGCAATAAAACACTTTCTCGAGCTGAGTGAGAAAGGATTAGAATCTCACAGAAATCAATAAAGATTTGACAGGAGGCTCTAACAGCTTCCCAACTTAATTCAAAAATTGTCTGGAGTTCTACTGAATCAGCATATTCGCTTTTAAACAGAGGATAGTAATTCAGTCACGCATCAAACATTTCAGGTTCTTGAGATTTTTCACTGATTTCTGATAAAGTCTAATAGCAGTGCCTTTTCTCAGGTGTAATCCCTTACTTACATACAAACCACCATGTTAAAATGTGAATGAAAATTCACTGATACCCAAAGACATTGCTATTACTATAAATGCAGTTAAGAAGTAAACATTTATGAATTTACACTACATTTCAGAACAGGCTTATACATGCTGTACTTCATTTCTGCTGTATAATAGTACAGTTGTCAAAACAAATTCTCAAGTTGGAATATGTCAGGTATGAGAACAGAATTTTTAAATCCCAAGGGCATAAAAATGGAGCAAATTTAATGGAAACTACTAAAAGTTTGCAAGACAAGAGCTCTGGTCTTGCAATAACAAGAACATTAAATCACTCCTAGTAAAACAACATAAATAAATATTTGGAAATGGAATGTCAGTACCTTTTAGCCCCACAAGAATTAAAAGATGGTAAATTTCCTATAACAATACTACACAATGAAGTCTAATAATCAGAAAAACCATTACCTAGTGACAAAAAGCAAAGTCCAATAATAATTTCTTTGCTGGTCATTACTCCACTAATCAGCCTGTGCAGGACACTATTGTCACTGACAAAAGTGATCAAGGCTTCTGCAAACTTGGCATAGCAGGAAATGTTCACAGGAGCACAGCGATGGAAGAATGGAATAGGTGCACTGGTGACACAAGGAGAAAACAAAAACAAAAAAAAGGGAAAAAAATTACTCCTCCCGAAATATAAAATGGAAATGTAACATCAACAAACAAATGGAACGGTGAATGGAAGCCACAATTTTGACTGTAATATTAATCAATAGTGGGTGATAGTCTACATATCTTTTAAAAGCGGTTATGAATGAATTTTGGGAATGCACATGGTGAGCAGTGGCTGATTATGTCATCAATGGGGTTGAAAGGATGTGAAAGCCAAATCCAAAATAGTGTGGGGACAATCTAAATAAACCAGCATTTTTGCCAAAGGCCACCAGTTGTTTGACCTATTATTAAATACTAAATTGTGAAGGTTGAGATTTCAATCTCAGGAGTCCTTACTTCATCAAACGTGCTCTTACGGTATCATCTTGTATTTGTATTGTGAACTTACCTGAGCATGCATAAAAAGCACTTCATTTTTGCACATGTAACCACAAGAAGGTATTTATGAATTCCAGCCATGAGAAGGTATTAATTGGAGGTAGAATCTGACCAATAATTTACAAACTGAAAATTCTACCTCTCAGCCCTTAGCAGAATGAGGGCAAAACTGTTGATGAACATGGTTATTATTGAGGTCACTCTAACTTTTGTATGATTCAGCACAACATTGGACAGCTAGAAGTGTCAGGAGATATCCGTAATGGCAGCCTCCATATCAGTACAACATTCCTGTGAGGTGAGCTTCCCGATACAGCTGTTGAACGTAAGATTGTGAAATGCTGGATGCCTTTAGTCCAAACCGGACCATGGCACATATGTCCCCTTCATCATCTGTTGGTTACTGTTTTTATCCAATAGTGGCCACTGTCGGGGATGTGTGCCAAGTACTCCTCATTCTCACTCCATAGGCACAACCGTGCATGTTCACCAGTATGAATGTGTATTTTGCCTCAGTGGGAAGACTATTTAGCTGCTGCACCATACTTTAACAAGCAGCTGAATTGCTAATATACTACCACCCCCACCAAATGCATGTACTGGGATGAGAGTTTTTAAATTACTTCATACATTCTGATAACAAACTCTTCTGACTAACAAAAGAGGGACAGATGTATGAACTAATAATAAATGTTGGATATCCATTTATTCAGAATGCTGAGAAGACAGAGCACTGTGGACTTCTTAGGACCAAGAAGCTGACCTGGAACAATGTTTGTTTTTTTCCCCTCCTCTATGGTGTTAAAAACTAGCTAGGAATCAACATAACATAGTGCTATTATGTTTTATTTTGACTTTCATTTTAAAATGATAACTCACTAGGGTTTTTTTGTTTTTTTTGTTCAGTATACAACAAATAAAAGTGTCTCTTCTATACATCACACTGTATATTCTGAATGACCAACATTGGAAAGAAAAAAACACTTTTACAAGAGGAGGTCGCACATGGAACATGAGATAATTGTTTTCTTTTCACATGATAAAAAGGGACGATCTGCAGAAGATTTCAACGCAATATTTAGCAATATTCTATTAGCTGAACAGCAAGCATATCCTCACAGAGAGTTGCTCAAGCGATAGCAATCTTTCACTTGTCTTAAAGATCACTGAAACCAATCAAGCAGAAGCCCAATATCAGGACTGCGGCATTCACAGGCAAAGCATGAGGTAAAATAAATCTTGGCTGTATCCACTCGTCTCATAAAAGGTCATAATTAGGAAGAAACATAGTGATCAAAACAAAAGTTTACAGAACACAAAGCTCGTTTTTGAACAGGTCTCTAAAAAGAAAATGAAGGGACAGGAGAATGATATCTGATCAAATGTCAATAGCCTTTAGCCACTGCAAATAACTAAGGAGTCTCTTTTAGATACTGCTGTCAGGATCTGGTATAAGAGGAATGTACACTCTTTAACCCCTTCGTGACTGACGACGTACAGTGTACGTCGCCAGCAAAGATATACATGTACATCTCACCAGTTTGTAGTAATGGGTAAAAACTCTTATGACTGTGTATAGTGTGTAATTGTAAATGTACATGAAAGCTATACTGTCTCGCTGAGAGAGCACCACATATAAGGTTGTTTTGTGTTTTCAAAGTCTCATTATATATGCTGGCTATGGCTTCTGCCTGCAGGACTACACAATGACTGAAGTTTATTGCTTTCTCTCAAAATGCAAGTCTATTAGTCAGCTGACTCACAGAAAATAAAAGCCAGTGCACAAACCACTGTAAACATAATGAAAGGGCTGTAGTGATCATTCTATATTAGGCCCTAGATATTTGCCCTTTTGGTTTACATACAAAAAAACGAACAAGGTCGTCTCAGTTGTTGTGCAAACAGATATGTTGCCCTATAAAATCAAAATTTCTATTTTTCAAGGCATTCATATTTAATTTTTTTTGGTTATTTTTATTTATTAGTTTCTATTTTCGTGTTGCATTAAAAAGGGCAAAAGCAAAATTGAAAAAAGCCTATTTCATTTGTAAATAACTTTGCAATGCATTAAACCAGAAACATAAATTTTAGAGTCATTTTACACAGGACATATTATCTAATAAGGTTTATACTTTTTATCCACAGTAAGATTTTTTTAAAACTAATAATTTTCTGTCTTTTGGTTTGTTACTTTTTAGGTCTATGGATTGCATAAAAAATTTAAATCGTTTCTGCAAGACAACATTGCCAAAAGAAAGCCATGCTTGTCCTAAAAAAAAAAAATATAGGTACAGTATTACTTCAGTAGTGCCTGACATGGGTAACACTGGAAGCTTTCATTTCAAATGCTGTCCTATGGGAGTACTTGCTAACAAAGTTGGTAACAAAACAGTAATATAAGTAAAATGGTATTAAGAACATTTGTGAGGACAAAGCCAGAAATCATCACATATTTTATCTCATCTTCCTATCTCATCCTTCCCAAAATTTTAGTCAGCTCAGGGCCAGATTGCCGTTTGTGCACTATTGTTGTGGGCTAGTGTGTACTTGCAGTTCCCCACTCTGGGTCTGTATACCTAGAACCAAACTGCTCGGGTGGAACTCTGCCGTTCTAGTCACTGGCTCTTATAGTGACTCAGTCATGAGAAAAGTACAAGAGGTGCCATTGGAGGCCTCCTTCGAAACTGCTAGATGCCTGGGTGTGTCCATCTTTGGTATATTTCCTTCATAATCCTGAAATGAGTGTCAGAATAGTTGTAAGAACTACTCATCTCTATACTGTTTCTGGGTGAGCGACTCATACAACATTGAAGTAAAAGTTAATTCTCAAAGGAGAAGTTCCGCAATGGCAGCCTCCATTAATCTATCATGCCAATGTACCTAAAAGCAGACGATACAATCTAATTTGTACATTTTTCTTTAGATTTACCAACTATGTACTATAAGGGCTGGCTGATTGGATAAAGCAGGTGTATGGGGAAGATCTTTGCAGCTAAAGGTGGTGCTTCAGTAACAGGAGCAGCAGCTGGATGATGGTTCCTTCAGGCTGAATGGCTGTAAAGAGATTGCGGATTGAGTCAGCACTCAATCCCTCAGCCTTAACCCCCTACAGCAGTAAAATCGGCAATGGTGGAAATTTTGAATAGGTGCCCAAAGGGTTCAATCAGTAAATTAGCTCCTGATGCTTCTGTCTGACCAGCCCTAATCATCAAGTTAGTCTTCAGAGAAAGGCAATATGTTGGAGCTATATAAATAATTGTAATCATAATTTTCCCACCTGGGGATGAGCCACAGCTCTGGACCCAGAAAGCACTCCGGGGCTAACATATGGTACTAAAGATCTGGAAAGCACCACAATTAGAGCTGCAGCTAACGATTATTTTCATAATCGATTAGTTAGCCGATTATTAAGTTCGATTAATCGAATTTAAAAAAAAAAAAAAGTCTCCAGTGATGGAATACTAGTTTGTATTGAGATTGTAGTCCATCACGGGAGCAAGCTTGGAGCGGTGGAAGTAAAAAAGAGCAGCGTGTGACGTGTGCTTCAGGCCGCGTGTAGAGCCCCGAACAGGGAAATCAATTGATAGCCGACGAATCGACGATCGAAAACGTTGGTAACGTTTTCAATCGTCGATTTTAATCGACTAAATCGATTAACTGTTGCAGCTCTAACCACAATGCAGAGCCCAGTGCCCAGAGATCCCATTCCAGGTTAGTCTGCATGTTAAGTGGACTTGTCACAACCTCTCTGAATCCGTCAATGAACGACAGAGAAAAACGGTTTAATTATTGTCTGTGTTCAGCTCCCCTCAATTCCTGTTTTATGGAGCACTAATCAGACCAGAAAGTTAACCAAGTCCGTCCAGCAGGAACAGAGACTAATTAAGACCTAAAAGATTTTCTGAACCTTGTCTTCTCTATCCAAAACTGAAATTGTTTTGGGTAGGCCTACTTTAGAGGACAACTTTACTTTTGCTAAAACAAAAAAAAAAAACAAAGAATGACCCTCCCAGGTGCTTACTTAACTCTATGTGAAGGTGGAGATGACCACCACTGACATCAGAGAGGTTAGTGAAGACCTGAGTGTAGTGAAGTTTTAGCTTAGAATAGATTCAGGGGCCAGGGAGGGTGGGATAGAATTTGTTCTTGGTAAAAGTCATACTTTAAACATATACTGTACATTCATGCAATAATTTGTGAGCATTAATGGAAGACAACATTGGAATTTTTGACCGATTTTGTTTACCATAAGGCCATCAGCTTTATTTAAGAATGCATAGTGTTAAACACAGTAACCCATAGTGACAGATTAGAAGGAATCTTGCACTGGTCTGATTTCAGCTGAATGAATTGTGATAGTCAACAACAACCACTAAGAATGCATTCTGCTGAAACCAGATTAATACAGGATTGGAGTGGTTGGCATAGATAACTTCAGTTAAGAATTAGATCTATTTGTTGAACGAGTCAGTAATTTCTGAACAACACACTGCCCTAAAAACTAATCTAGCAAACTGTGGGATGCCTAAACAGAGCTCGTTTGCATTTTAAATTTACACATTTATTCATGTAGCAAAGTTAATGTCTTAGCAAATTATTTTTTACTTTGCCATTTAAACATTTGACAGCAAACAGACTATGTTTTGTAAACATTACTAAAAATATTAGGGTTAAGACATACGTTTTAACCCTAATAGTTTTAGTAATGTTTACAAAATTGGTTTCTGGCAATGGTTGTTTCTGTGCTGTGTGCATCTGTAAATGTTAAGACAGTTTCATAAGAGCACTCTATTATCAATTTGCCTTACGAGGCTCAGCGAAAAAAGAATCAACAGGAAATAATTCTGCCTGCTCTAGATGAACTTTAACGTGTTTAAAATTATGATGGTCAGTCCAGCAAGGAAGGTTACTAAAGTTGTTTTTTTTAGTGTCACGCTCTATGCTTTATACAGCAAAATCTAAAAACAGAGAGGGATGAGAATAAAATGTACAGCGGCATAAAGAATTTTCTTTTCTTTGCAAGCAGCAGAAATCAGTTCAAACATATTAAATAGAACTCTAGTAGTAGGTAAGATCTCTGCACCATTTCTCATTTCATTTTGTGCTGTCAGATAGTTGGGTTAAGACTGCCTGTTGACTTTTTCCATTATGTGAGCTAGGGTCTCACCTCTTGATAATATGAGGCATCACAGCACTTACTATGGGGCAGAGAAAAAGAAAAACATCTTCTTTCCACAATGAAAAATAAATATAATTTTAGACCAAAGTGCTTCTCTAGGACAGAAAACTAGCAGCACTGATATTCATTTGCTTGCCAGACAAATAGAAGTGGTAAATTGGTCTGTTTTTTGTTTAGCATTAAAATCATTTTTTTTTAAATGCTTAGGGCTCACATTTAGAATGAAGAGAACCAATGGGTGGGTGTCTTTTCCAAGTGTGTGCTCTATTCAGGTCTCCACGCTGCAGAGTGTGACACATCTGCACTTTATCGCAGTGCAACGCACATCACATCAATGTGGTGTGGATGGAGCACATAGAAAAAAAAACAACTGTTTTCTATGTGCCTTAGTGGTGACTGGCATTTCTTAGTTACTGGAAATGCCAGTCAATGTTTATGGTGTGACCAAGCCTTCATTCAGGGGTTCGATACTTTAAAGAAGGGGTGGGCAACTCTGGCCCTCCAGCTGTTGTGGAACTACAAGTCCCATGAGGCATTGCAAGACTGATATTTACAGGCATGACTCCTAGAGGAGAGGCAGAGGCATGTTGGGATCTGATGTTAAAGCATAGCTGGAAGGCCAGAGTTGCTCACCCCTGCTTTAAAGGCTCAGTTAAAAACTTTGGAAAAGGAAAAGTGAATGTTTTGTCCACAGGCACACTTTAAACTCTAGCTAACCCAGGTATATAAACGTATACAACTGAATTGCAAACTTTTACGTCTTTCCCAACAAGACTCTAAATATACGAGTAGCTGTAAATATTTTCACTGGTTTCAGTTAATAAGTAATTTGTGCAGTTCCAACAAGCTTACATCTAAAAAAAACTAGAGCAAACCTGAAGACTAATTCTACCTGCTCCCCCAAAACTAACCCCAATTTTTAAAAGGATGTATACTAGTAGAAGCCAACTTCTAATGATGATGCCTTCAGTGCTTGGTAGAATTACCAATTTGATGTGTAGTTTCTACCTTCCCTATTTGCTTCTAGTGGCAGCGTGTTGTCAATGCACAGATTTAGTCCCCATTCACACCTAGGCATTGTGTAGCTGAAAGGGCTAAGCACTCATTGGATTTTCATTGTTTTCAATGGCACCTGTTCATATATGAGCGTCCGGTCAACTGTAGCAAAACGTCTGTCGCTGAAAAAAGTGCAGGAGCTACTTTTGTGCAGATTTCTGCATGTTGGGCTCCATTGTCTTCATTGGGAACGCCTGTAAACAACACAGGAGTTTTCTGGGGAACAATATTACAAGCTGAAACCGCGTGCCAAAACACTTTGAAAAACGCTTTGTTTGTTGAAAAATGCATGTTGATGCGTGTTTAATGCCTGAAACGCTGATGCTTAGGTGTGAACCTTAAAAGAGAAAGTAGCAGCAGGACAATATAAAACATTTGCTGCACCAGCTTTTTATGCCAACCTAATGGTCTTTCAATAAATCAGTTTTGCCACATTTAAACTCCAGCAGTGAACAGATTCAAAGCAAGCAGTATGTATGTATGTATGTATGTATGTATGTATGTATGTATGTATGTATGTATGTATGTATGTATGTAACATGGTTGTACTGCAAGCATGTTATTTTGGGTTCCGAGGTGGGATCCATCCAAATGCTTTCTTTTTTTAGTGCAATAATATACACTTTAATAGGTTTCATTAAAAGGGTAAAACACAAGATTTGTACAATAGCACGAGGTGATGGGTTTCATAAACAGGACATAACATTTTCTGATGACCTGGCCTTAAAACATCTATTTACCTACCAAAGCCAAACAAATGAAAATTCAAACCTAACAAGGTATGTCAGAATGCTTTCCATGACATCACTATTGCCAAACATAAGTGAGATGACAGCCTACACAATAACTTCATTTATAAAGTAGAAGATTACACATTTGTAAGTCTGTTGTAAAATGGTTAACCACAAAAAAACAAAAACCCCACAAAGTTCAAAGCCATATACTCAAGTTATGCATGAAATCAGGCAGAATGGTTGGACCCATCTTTAACTCACCTTACTGGCACTGGAAGCTTTGGGCACAAAGACGATGCTTTCATACTGTTTGTGTACTGGCTAGGCAATAGTGCATAATCACAAAGATTTGACCCTGTGAAGATAAAGCAAAGATCACAATTATCAAAATTCCAATTAAATGGTAAACAGTACAACTAATTTGATTTAGCATGTAACTCTTCTAATATGTCTGTCTGCCTAAAGAGGACCTTTACCCCTATCTTTAAAATAACAAAGACACCTTTAGAAAATGTTTAGTAATGACAATCTACAAACACATACTTCTAGATAATTGCTGGCTTTCTATTCTTTGCATTCCTTATTTCTCTTTTCTTTCCCAGTCTTCTGATAGTGGTCATGTTTACTAAGGGTAGATTACTAGCTCTCCTTTTACTTCCTGGATTTCTGGCGCACGTGACCATGTACATCATCTCCGGGGAGGAAATGCCTTTCCCTGAGATCTCATGAGATTACAGAGGAGATTTCCCAGCAATGCTCTGCTGATGACAAGGCAATCCCAGTGTGCATTGCTTTGGCAAACTGAAGTCATTTTGCCCTTTCAAAGCAGGAAGTGAATGCTCTGCAAGTGGAAGTATTTCACAATCACAGCATTTTACACCCGACATGTTTAGGTTATTATTAATCATCATACATAGGAGGGATGCATAGGTAGAACTTGAAAAAGCTAGTTGCCTGTACCCTGTTGACTAATTTGCTTCAATACGTTGACTTCTGACATTTCTCTGATTTTTCTGATCTGCATTCTTATGTATCAGTGAGTCAAAGCATTCAAGCAAGAGCATGGCAATTAGCAGAAGGAGGTCAGCAATTACAGGTATTGGGGTATTATGCCTCATTCAGACAAGAAGATAGCATGCTGCATTCAGAAGCATTTAGCTACTAGATACAGCAGCCTATCTGCTCGTCTGAATGAGGCCTAATATTCCACAGGATGGAGAGAACAGCTTTCTTATTTATAATTATAGCTCAAAAAATTGCCTTCTAACTGGTTTCTAATGTTATGTGATTAATGTATTACAATTTTAATATAACCCTCCAAAGAATATATCTCTGTTGATAGAGAAATAAAAAAGGGAAACAGGGTTTTCTCAACTCCCATGTGAAATCTACCTGCTACACAAAGAAAGTGTTACTACAATAATGATCTTAGGCTGTGGTGTAGCATTTGTTAAAGGTGAACTCCAGGAAAACTACCTAGTACAATGTTGAAATTCATATATGTGAATTGTTTAACGAGCCAAGCATTTAGGGTTTGGTTAAGCCAAGCCCTGGACCTCTTGGCTGACTATATTAAACCAATACAGCTGAGTCCAGAATCCAACGCAGCATTTCACTGGACATTGAGGCAGCATCAGCGCACAGATAAAGTCATCCCTCTGCTCTCCCCTCATGTAATATTTTCAAGTATGTGTGACTGACAGTACCGTACAAGGCAACAGGCCCTAATTGGCTCAGAGTGCAACCCTCTAGTTCACCACCAAATCAGGAATCTGCTGTATAGGAGACTTTAGGAGGCTGATGTAATTTTTATATTTTGCATAAATAGCTAATTGGATTGAAAAGTTTTTATCTGCCAGAAATGTAGCTTAAAAGAGAATGCCACTCACTTGCTAAAAGTCACAGATTTAACCATTTAGTTCACTGTAGCCAAGACCAACCACGAAGGATGCCAGGAGCCCAATGGTTGATAACTGGATTATATTTCATACAAACAGTATTGTATAAATAAATATGATACAGAAAATGCCCTGTCTTTAAGACACAATATGTGAAAAGTGTGCAATTTGGCAACTAGCTTTGATTTTTTTTACATTTTATATGGAGGGTAGAGTGTCACTGTTACCATACCTATTGTTCTTCTACTGGCAGACCACTAGATATGTAGTGCCGAATATGGAGGTACTAGCATAAAACATCATATTATAAAAATATATTTTCAAAATATTACTTCCTATGTGCACCTGGAGGAAGAAGAGAAGAAGAGAAGAAAAAGAACTGGACAGAAGACATCTGGGGAAAAAAAAGATAAGTCTACAGTTTTTTGTTGTTTTTTTTTTTAAAGGGTTGGGGGTATCCCATTCCTGGATATGGGCTTTAAGCGCCATACTTTTGAACAGAGACCATGTCCAATCAACTGCTGCAATTCTCAGGATGTGTTAGACCTTTCAGAGTTTCCCATGGCATTTTGTGCTGGTCAAGCTTGAACAGAGTAGAGATTATATGTGTGTGTGTGTGTGTGTGTGTGTGTGTGTGTGTGTGTGTGTGTGTGTGTGTGTGTGTGTGTGTGTGTGTGCGCGCGCGTGCGTGTGTTTCCATCCACTGAAGTACACAGGAATTCTGCAACAATCAGGACATCCAAAAAGAAGCCCAACTGAGGGGTGGGAAACTGCCACAGAACCAGAAAAGGAATTTCACTATAGGACAGGAAAACCAACGACCCAGAGGTGGTTGAGGAGGATTAACCTGATGCCCAGACCAAGAAAAGTATTGCCACCAAAAGGGAATGACTACCCCAAACGACACAGAGTCTGCACCAGCAAGGTTTGAGTCAAAGTAACCACCAAGTGGAGAAATATAAAACTACATGAATGAAGAGAGAACGCCAATGGAACTACACTCAGTCAGATAAACTGGCAAACAATGGGCAAAACGGATGCAAGAAGAACAACCTATCATAATAGACAAAAGTGGGAGCACAACAACCCCATACTGGTGCAGCAATACCAGAAACAGTAAGAAGAGTGGACCTGTTTAGGACACTCAGAAGTGTCACTAGAACCTAACAGGCCTGTCTAGCTGATTCAGGACATTGGGCGTACAAGCACTCTGATCTCCCTGATCCAGTGAAATGTCCAAAGCCATGGAGTGAGGGGGAGTAATCTTAGCCAAAGAGAGAAGGATAAATCACATGAATAAACACAGTAGCAGGAAAGATATTTTGAGGAACTTCCCATGAGGGCTGGAAATTTGCCACAGTAGAAAAGTATAACTCCAAACAATTCGAACCTATGAGTGTTCCGAATGCTATCTACCACAGGAGGTGTCTGTAGAAGGGTTGCAGTGTAGGTTGCCTGCTATGTGACCTATGATTTAAGTGGGAGTTAAACTCAGAGCTCCTCTAACCTTCCTGCAGATCTCTTGCATAGTGCTAATAACAGTGTCAAGTGCTGGTCTAAAAAGAGAGGATGTCCCTCAAAGGGAAGACAAACCAGCTGTTCCTGGAATGTCTCATTAGCATTCCATGCAGGTAGCCAGAGTTCCCTACACATTTGTACAGACATCAGTCCTATGTGGGACAAAAGTTCAGAGGCTTGTAATAAACTGTCACATCCAAAGCACAAGACCCCAAGACATCTGCTCTAACTGATCCATAAAGTAGGAACCTACCCCAGTGGTGCAAGAATTTTCTCCAAGCAGTTCAATCCATTCTGACATGGTTTGACAGATCAGAGTTACTGCCAACATAGGACGGAGGGCCAACGCAGCTGATTTAAACTGGGATCAAAGCAGGGAATTTCATTCCCCTCAGTGATGTCCCCAAGGGTGCTGTAAATATATCTTCCACCCCCTCTAGTGGTACCTCTTAACGTGGATCACTGGAGCATCCAGATCGGGCACAGACCACCTATTAGTGAATCCCTTCTCAAAGACAAAATGATCTGGAAGTTTCATGTAGGGCTTCTAGTCCGCATAAAGTCTTGAAATGGTGGGTGTAGCAGAAAGGTTTTTGAAGCCATAGGTGATCTAAAAGACCCAAGGCTTATCACAGTATGCTGATCCTCTGAATCTCAACAGTTGGGAGTGGGATCCCCTGTTGGGATCCTTTTGTATCTTAACAATTGGCAGAGGCTGTTTTGGGGTCACCATAATCTCCTGCAGCTCTTTCAGACATACAAGAGCGTTTCAAACCTTTTTGATGCAGTGCACTCCGTGGACCGTTGAGATAACACAGGCCAAATCCTTACAATATTAAAGTATTTATTTAGTGACCTGTATACCTTTAGTGATCTGCAGTAATTTCAGGAGGGTATTAGCACCCCCATCCTTACCAGTTGTGACTCCTGAAAGGGAGGGACTCCCCATTGAAAGCTACAGGAAATAGGGTGAGACATTCCAATCTGCTATTCTGCAAAGTGGCATTTGCCCCTGCAGTATTGACCAATTTGATAATGTGAGATCACTATTAGAATTAGGCAAGACTTGCCACAACAGCTTAAAGACTTAGAAGATCTTGCCACCCGACCCCACAGTTTTATTTCATTGCCACACAACTTCAACGCCTGGCCACATTCATTCGATACCCCCCCTCACATTCAGCCTTCAAAATAAGTTTTCACTTGTTTCAGGGAACAAACCCTTTATATGCCTAAGAAACACTTAACTAATTGAAAACCCACTCGCACATGCCCATTGTCCCGTTGTTGAGACATGTCTGGGCAATGAAAAAAGAAAAAAAGAAAAGGCTAGTTGCACTCCTTACCGGTATGACCCCGTGATCGGGGAGGGGTGTTCGGAATGACTGCGGATGGCGCCGCCAAATACAGATAATTGCAGAAACGTCACCAGCACACCAAATCCTTATAGGATCAAAGTTCGTAGATTTTATTGCAAACTCATGTCAGTTACACAAGCGCTTTCGGGGCCACACAGGGTCCCTTCATCAGGCATAGCAATGAGGGCATAGCAATGAGGTCATTGCTATGCCTGATGAAGGGACCCTGTGTGGCCCCGAAAGCGCTTGTGTAACTGACATGAGTTTGCAATAAAATCTACGAACTTTGATCCTATAAGGATTTGGTGTGCTGGTGACGTTTCTGCAATGTCTGGGCAATGGTGAAGGGCCTTGCTAGGGAAATCCAGTTTAATGAACTACTTAGAGTTTCTGAAATTGCAGACATTTTAGAGATTGGCTAAGGAGAGTATACTCATATCCCACTTGTGTGTTAATCACCATTTCAAATCTGCAATCTGATTTTAAAGTAAACCAGGGAATGTTTAATTAATACCTTCAACTCTGGCATGCAGTCCTAACAATATGCTTACTATATCTCTGACACCCCTATATTTAGCAATATTGCTGGAGTTGATAACGAAGGGTCTTATTTCTGCTGTTTATGCACAGTTGTTGGTTACATTTTTGAACCCATACCGGATGATACGTGGCATGATATACTGCAAAGCGGTTTAGTCCATATCCCTATCCCCTCCTACAAACCTACACAGCTTTTTATTATGCATCACGTGTACCACACTCCCTAGTTCCTTTGTAAACTCCTAATGCAGCAGGTATGGTCAACGTCATGGAAATTTGATAAACCATAAGCTTAAAAAGTACTGGGCAGAAATCACAATAATTTAGAGGGTCCTTGGTACCTCCTTGAACAATTACCCCAATTACTTGCATCCAGGGACACTATCATTCTTTCTACCTAAATACGTATACATCCTTGGCGGTTGCCAGATTGTTCTTTTTAGTCTGCAGGATGTTGGCTGGAACATGGATTTCCACAACCCCTTCCTCTACAGAGGAATAGCTACAAGAATTAGACAAATGCATTGCATTTCAAGAAGCACACCTACTTTCTTCAAAACGCTATGCATAAATCTGACCGCACCTTGTCTCGCTGGTTGATTGCGATGGATCATAGTAAAACCGGATATGTGAAGTTAGGTGCCATTTCCTATTAGGTTTGTTGTACTACATGTATTCTTAAGCTGAAACCAGTTGCTTTCAAAGGCTGGGCATTGCTTGTTTTAGAGCTGTATGTGACATATTGTTCTACTGTGTCCTGTTCAACAAACTGTGTATTATTTCTAAAAACTTTTTGAAAAATAAAATCCAAGTTCAACATTTTTGCAAGAAACAAGTTTTTTCTTAAACCAGAGAAAACTCAAGACTTTAGCATTTGCAGGATTGCAGGTTTATTTGTGTAGTTTAGAATATTACATGAACTGCAACAGGTTTTTGCAACAGAGGTACTGAACATCTTATTTTTGACTATTGGGTTTGTAGCACCCATTAGAGCTGGCATTCATTTAGCCAGTTACTTTTTTTTTTGTTCTTTATAGCTGAAAACATACTTTTTGCATTTGTAAAATACATTCAAATGTACTCCTTAAAATATGTAGCTTGCAGACTACTTATGCTACTTTTTCTCTTTTTAATAAAGGTGAATAAAAGAATGTTATACTAGTAAGCACCAGAATTGCTCTAGAGGTCAGTTGTTCCCCTGACTGTTATTCACTTGCATTTCTCTATCAGGATTTACATCTACAGCAGTAAGAAAGACATTTATGTATTCATCTCCACTGTCAGTGGGGTCATAAAGGAGTCCTTGCAGTGTTTTTTATGTGTTCGTGGAGCTTGCATGTTTTGTCATTTTACATGAAAGCTAATGAAACTGCCAAGAGTATAAAAAGTGGATTGTTAAAGTACAGATCAGAGAGTGTTATGTCTCAGTGGCAGTAACTGGCATCTGACCATTTTTGAATGCATTCGTGCATTACAGCAACATGCAGTGATCTTTTCTGTTATTTAAATTAATGGTCTTCTAGTCCACAAAGCATTAAATACTTGATGTTTCTATGAAGAAAAGACCGTGATCTTCAACTACTTTTGCAGATGTTCCAACAAGTTGAAAAATAAAAAAAATAAAAAAATCAGTAAGTGGCAATATATGCTTTTTCATTTGTTATTCTGTCCTTTTGTACACATTCTTTTATGAGTGATGCATGTAATGCTTGAAATAGGAGCATTGGATGTGGAGTTCTACACATGTGTGATCAGCCCAAATATTAAAATCTCTGGTATTTGCATTTAAAGTGAATCTAAAAAAATATGTTTCTGGATAGAGCAGGGAGGTGTTAGAAGTTTGCTGCTGCTTTGTGTCCCTGCAGGGGAGATTTGCCCTCCATCTTTCCTGGTGACCACTGTCACAAAGATAGAAAACAAGGGAAAATCTGAAAGTTGTCCCTGGGTCACGAATAGAGGGGACATCTTTCAAAGGAAGCATTAGTTCTATTCGGTTTATTTCTTACTTTATTGATCTCTCTGCTCACTTACTGTTATTTGAGGAAATCTCTCTCTACCTCATGCAAAAAATGTTAGATGGGAAAGCAATGAACACTTTTCTCTGTGTACATAAAACATTTGTATTACCAGTTGTACCTGTTTTCAGTAAAAGTCCCATGGAATGGGACACTTACCATTTTTTTCAGCAAATTTTTGAACATCAGACAACGTTTTAAGCTCTTCCTGCGGGCACTGGGAAACGCACAATGCTACAGATTTTATTTTTCTGTTTACCAAGTCCAGTTTACAAGGATCCAGAAAGAATACATACCTAAATGTTACAAATAAAAAAAGTAATCAATCATCGTGGATATCTACAAAAGAGTAAAATAATAAATGCGGTTTTGATTTTTTATAATGCAGCAATAGACTAAATCACAACAAAAGTCAGCAAAGCAATTTAAAAGTACACAGAAGAAGAATGCATAGTATGCACTTGTTAGAAAGTACACTAAAACGTATCTCATAGCGCCACGGAACTAACTAGAAACAAAAAAGCCCCAAAGTTCTCAAATGGGCACTCTGTATTATGAGGAAGTTATGTAGAAGCTGTGATTACACTAACTTTGGGCAATTGCATTGCATGGTGGATTTAAGAGACAAGTAACACGCTCAAAAATACATCCAAAAAACGCTGCAAGGGGTTTCTGCTTAGTAAGCTGCTAAAAGAAAAAACACTCAGGGTTCTCTATTACCCTCTTTCATTATAACTATATTGATACCCAATAAGCTTTTCAACAGTTTGCTGAAAAAAAATTCTAGTCCACAGAACCTTTTCAGGTCATGGAATAATCATGGTCTACGGGTTGATAGGAGGTTCAATTTAAAAGCCCAACTCAAACCAGAACTCTTTTTTTTTTTGAGTGTGGAAAGAATGAACACTTGTGTCACATATGACAGAATGAACACTTCTGTCACATTTTAAAAGCTGTGCCTCAGAGATTTTTCTTTTAGTGTTGTAAATACTGTGCCCCTGCTACGGAGATTTCCCTGTCATTTTCTGTTCTGTCTGACACCTATCACCTGGACAGGAGGTGAAGGAAAATCTCTCACTCATGGGGACACAGCAATATTAAAAAAAAAAAAAAACCTGATACTCTAAACTTGTCACACAAAATTTAGTCTTGAGCTAGGCTTTAAAGACAATCTTTGCAATGCGTGAACGCACGTTTGTTCACAAGCGTTTTTGCTGCCGCACGCGAGTCTATTTAATCAATGGGCAGTTGCATGCGTGACAGTAGCTCATGCAGCATTTTCAGGTGTGAGCATCCTGCGTGTGCATATGCGTCAGACATGCAAGAAAAAAAACAATGCGGGGCATTCACAGCTGAAAATGCTGCATGAGCTACTTTGTCACGCGTGCAACTGACCATTGATTGAATAGGCTGACGCGTGGCAACGGAACAAATGTGCATACACACATGCACGGTTTCAAATACATTTCACTTACTTTCGGTCGGTATGGTCTAATCCACTGTTTTCAAAGCCTTCTATCTTAGCATTCTTCTGTCCACAAATATTTCCATAGCTGTCATAACCAGAGATTAAACGTGAGGCAGCTCCAGTGGCTATGGAAAAGCCACAAATAAAGCCCTGCAAAAATAAAATGGAATAGCAAATCAACTTTTAATGTGTGCTTTCAGATTATTATAAATATTCAGAACATGAATAATATTCTCCCCTTCCGCTCTGGCAGTTTAAGAACCCCTCAGTCACCATGTCCAAAGCAGTGCATTGAACATGAGGATGCCTAGGGAT